TTCTATACTCATAATAAAACATACGTTTCTTTTTAAATTAATAAATATGTTATTTTGGTATTATATTTCCATATCTAATATTTTCTAATATCATTCAAGTATTTCCTCCGATAACTTTACAAATAATTATTTATGTCACCTATGTGCAATACAGATAAATTGATAATATTAACAGGGAATCTTGTACAATCTAAACACGTACGTTCGACACGTGTAGCGATCAAGCAACAAATACTAATAAGAGTTTAAAATCTCGAGTCCCTAAATTATTCAGGAAACAACGAAAGAGAGACATACGCAATAAATGAACACGTGAATGAGAAGAGAAACAAATCCAAAATATTTCCAGCTGTATCCTTCCCTTTCGTTGATGACTAAACTGATTTGGCCTTAGAGCTATCGCGAGAGATTTAAATATGAATATCTGTTTGTGCGCGAGTTTTCGCCACAACTTGTATTTTCACGCATTAACCTTTTGAGTATTCCCGTGACATGGATTCTATTCATGCTCCGAAGATATTACGCCATTTCGAATGAAATAGGGTCCAGCGGCCAAAGGTGATGCGTAGATCGTGATAGAACGACCTGTGCGTCGTAAAATAAACACGTGAATATTTAAACGAAAATGTTTTCGTCTCTTGTCGCTCTTGCAAGAGAAATCGGTAATTACGTTTATTATTGAAATCAAGTCGCCATTGACCCCTTTTGGATCGTAAATGCCATTTGACATGTGCGAGATATTCGCGTATTATATTAATCTTTTATTAATGATATATGTTATTAATGATGCTATATAAGTAGCTTATACATTATACAATCATTTATGTATACACGTATCTTGATATTTACTGAAAACTTCCTAATTATTACACAATAAAAAATTACATAAAAAAATAAAAAAATAAAATGTCAAAAAAATTAATTGCTGCATAATAGAATTCAATTTGTATGTGTATCCGCGCGTATGTGTATAATGTGGAAAAGTACAGAACTGAACGACTTATAATATCGATTTATAATATTAACAAAACTATTGCAATATATTTCTCCTTGAGATTTTATTGCAAAAATCATAATTTTGTTAGTCCAATTTGTATGACATGTAATTCTATACTGACGAACAAAATAACGATAAATAAAACTACACGTTTGCGACGGGTAAATGAAATATCAAGGACAAGGAGAAATTAAAGTTGTTAAGTTATGCTTGCTGATATCTCGAAACAAATCTTTTCGGAAGCGACACGGCTAATTGCGCCAACAAAGATGTTTCCTCTTGAGATGAGAAAGATAATCCATATAATTTCGATGCGTGTATAAGCTATGACGCCTTGAGATTGACTAACATAAGATATGCGTCAGGTAATAGCTGACTAATTGCGAGCGTTATACGTACGCCAAGTGAGAAAGCAACATGTGAAGCAATATGAGCTTCAACGAAGAGCATCCAAAGGCCCCACGGGAGTACTTTGTTTTTATTTGTCGTTTCCCACGAATGCGATTAATTACCCTCGAGAAGGAAATTACGTCGGCCTTGAAGAACCATTGCCACCGCGCGAACGACTTAGGATTAATTATTGATTTAAGAAGAGATGTATATCTGTATAATATCTTAATCGAGATGATCGAGATCCATCTCTCATCTGGACATCCTCGAGTCACTCAATCTCAACTTTTTGACCGTTTCCGGTAACGCCTGCTTGGATTATAAAACGTTGATATAATGGCCAAACTCGTATCTCATAAACCGATGCCTTTCTCCGTATGCGGAAGAAGACACATCATGACTATGCAACGTATCTGTGCTAGAATGCAAATTTTATGACATGTAATATAAACGACATATATCATTATTACATAACACGAGCGAGGTACACATTCGATCGAGATGGACTCGAGGAGATTAAACAAAAAGGTTGAAATTTCAGAGAAAAATACCTTATTGGAATAACATGAATCGTATAAAACGATCCGATCATTATGACACGTCATATATTTGTTATGCGGATTTGTAGCCGGAATTGAGCTGTACGCGGTATTTTAAGATATTAAATTTAAGCATTATTAAATTGAAATGCACGTGATAAATATATTAATAAATGTATAAAAGTATACACACATTTATTATATTTTTTGCTTCGCAAAATCTATTTTTTAATCTATTTTTTGGATCTACGCTCCAAATCCTAATACGAATGATTGTAAATGTCTTGAGATATGAGAAAAAGTGAAAAAAGTGAAAAAGAGTTTTGTGATTTCGAATTATTTGTATTCCTACTTAAATATAAAATGATTATTATTTCAATTTGCATTTCTTTAAATTAAATTTCATTTTATTTATTTATTCATATTATATTTAATGCGTATATAAGTAAAGAAAAAGTTACAAAATACGCAATATGAAAAAAGTTGCAAAAGCATCCTTAAATAAAACTTAATTTTACCAGGTGACAAAAGTAAATGACATCATGATATTTTAATTGATATTTGAATAAAAGATTATGATCATTATTTAACGGATAAAAAATTATCAATTTTACTCAATTATGAGAGTATTGAAAACTAATGTTGCAAAATCTGCAGCAAACATATAGATTGCTCCTTTATTTATGTTTACTTTAACACGATTTAAATCACATAATTACGTCATACACATACACTCGCAGCGTACTTAATTGAATCTATGATTGCTACGTTGTGCAAATGTCATTTTCAGATTGTAGCTTAATTACCTTCGCAAGGTCGTAGTAGCCGTAATTTTTTTACAATCTTATATTGAAATTAGCCAAAAAATCATCAACATGTTCTTGCTCGTCATGAATATTTCGGGTATCGGAGCAATTTTTCATTACTTGTCGACAAACAATGCGTTGACGCGCGAAAGAATCTCTGAGGATTGATCTCATCAGGGATTACCCAATCCCGCCTGCGTGTGCAGAACAATCGGTCCACAGATACGTAATAATAAAGTAGTAAATTATGATATGACGAAGATGATGATCTATAATGCAAAAAACCTAGCGGCGCGGCACAAATGATTTAAGTCTTCCGAACCGGATTCAAGACCTCAAACGAGGATTTTATTAACCCCGCGTTTATTTCATGTAATTGATGTATATGTATTGGTCAGCTTTATTTATAAATTAGAGAAATATATCACATGTAGAAATATATATATATATAGTCGTTCGCGAACGAGTTTTAGGTTTTAGACATTAGCATATTTGGGATTAGTATCTTGGACTATAATTTAGGCGGACGGAAGTATAAAAGACAGAGGAAGAAAGAGGAAAAGGAGACGGAACCCTTGAAATGAATTTCGTATCTATTAGAGAGCCTTTCTGGTCTCCCATAAATCTGAATCTTTTCACATCTATATTAAGTTATTGTCACGAAGGAAAAAAAGACAAACGATAAATAAATAATGTCCTATGTTGTAAATAATAAATCGTCAGATAAATCGTAAGGTTTGAGAAATGCGAAAATTTATCGATATTTTATTTAATCATTGATCGAATTAACTATAAGCTTTAATTGAAAAAACATTTCAGCCATTTGGACACGGACTAATTAACAGTTATACTTTGTAAAAGAGTAAAATTTTAGTTGAGATAATTTATAAAAATCATATATATATATATATATATATATATATATATATATATATATATAGTGCATCCACAATTCCTAATCCTTTTCATTTTTATTTTTCGGAATTTATGCGGTATTTACGCAGTATTATTTTGTTAAGATACTTTTACCGCATCATTCATGTTCATAGTGATTATTAATTTTTATTGATGAAATATATTAATCTCGATGTACTTTTTTATGACCGAGTATGATTATTACACAGAATTTAGTCGAGAAAATATTATTGATTAATTGAAGAATTACCGCGTGTAAGCTGTGTATTTAATTATAATTTATCTCTTTCACAAAAGGTCTCCCATCTTTCGTCTTTGAAAAACAAGCGTTTTGCGCAAGCAACTGGACTGGAGAAGGGAAGCGGCGGATATTTAGTACTATACATCTTTAATGTCCTACATTCCGATATTAATTTTGAAAGTCCACAGATCTAATACCAAAGATCACTCAATTACGGGATTTTCCGTCACTGTAATCTTGCAATATTACGCGTGATACAAACTCCTCAGAAATATAAGTCTGTGCCTTGAATGATATTTCATGATTTATAGATCATACATGGAAAACAGAATTAAGTTTTCCAAGCTAATATTTATTCTACTCTTAAAATTTAATCTATTTAAAAATATAAAATATAAACTACTTATATAGAATATTTATAAATTTTAGATTTTTCCCTATGTATGTCATAATCGGCGAGCTTGTCTTATTTCTTAATATTTAATAATCATAATGACAAAATACAGAGATTAAATTAAAATTTTTATCGAACTAAATTTGATTTGATTGATTGATAGACCACTTTTAACTATCAGAGAAAATTATGAAATTTATTTATCCAACATATGAGAAAATACTTTATTCAATAAATATCGATATAGCTTTTAAATATTTGCATTTTGCTCCGATAATATAAGAAGTGAAATTACTCTGATAGATAGAAGCATCTTTGTACATGAATTAAAAAATTACACAAATTAAAAAAATATTGATATAATAGATCATAGATTTCCTAGATTTGAACAGAATTTAATAGCAGGATAATTTAAATTTCAATGCTATGAATACACACATACACACACAAACACCTGCACGAGAATGATCTTGATTTCACTCGCAAAAATTAAAATTGCAGTTATCGCAAAGCATGTATATATATATATATATATTTACATATTTCTTGGCATCTACACAGCATCCAATGTCAAGCTCGTCGAAATGTTACCGGTTTCGGATTCGAGTACCACAATGATTGTGTAGCTTGAGGCGCGCTAAGTGTGACGCGCAATTATAAGTACTTGTATTTGTGCGCGCGAGCGCGCTCGATAAATAAACCAAGTGCGTGTACTTACTTAATATGTATCCTCCCGCGTGGAGTGTGTAACGCGCGTGTCGCTTAAAAGAAAGTCAATATAACTGGCGCTGGTTTCGTATCCCTTCTTCTCTTATACCATCCTCCGGTGATCTGGCCAGTACCCCCCTACCATTTTGATGCGCGGATCGCCACTGTCCTTCGGTATCCTCTGTGCTGGTCAACATATTACATTGACTCTTCCATGGTCCATCCTTGTCAATTTCATTCCCCCGACTTCTCATCTGAGCGCTCATCAAAGTTACTCATATATCCTATAAATGCATTTTTTAGGACGTTTATTTCACAAACGCGATATTTTGCATATGTACGTGTTAAAAATTAAAAATAAACATAACAATCTTTTCTCCATCTCAAAAATTCTTATTATTAAACGTAATAGTTCTAAAAGCTTGATAAAGAGAGAAAAAGCTGTTCTGTTAAAGTCTATGTTTGTAACTTTAATCAAAAGAGATGCTCGTTATCTACGCGAATTTCTGAAGCGCGCTTCATCAAGAAACACTTTCTTTTTTCATTAATCAGCAAAATAAAAATAATTCCTCGATATTCCTATGAAAGGAAAGATCGTTTCACCTCTCGGAGATGAATATCGCCGCGTTTTTCAAATGCGGCGCCTGCTTGCTGCGTATGTCCTATACTTGCGCACATCTGGCTGTATCTCCCTAAAAATGCACTTTGTAAGTGCATTGGCCAGGCACTTTTACGTGAATTGTTCTTTTTTTTCTTTTTTTTTCACCGTCAACGTAATATGCGAATAATAAAAAAATAATTTCAATATATAATTATACAATAATAATTATCTATATATACGATAAATAATATAATTTTAATAATAATCGAAAAAATACAAAAGTAATTGTATATATAACATTGACTCATATATCATATATATATATATATATATATATATATATATATATATATCATATATATATATATATATATATATATATATATATATACTATTTAAAAGATGATGGCTAAATTAACTGGATTACATGTTAATTTCTTTACAATGATTCCGAAAACGATGTCAATGAACATTAGATTTGGTGTTCTATATATACATAAATAATTAAAATACATTATTTGCGTAAATTACAAAATTTTACGCGACATTAAAGTCTAACTTTATTCATTTAATTTCAATCAAAAGGATGAATATTAAATTAGTCAAAGAATTTAAGCAAATGAAAGAGAACGCGTAGAAAAGTTTACTTAATTCCGCCTGTTTAGGATCATTTATCTATGCGAGAAAGGTGTCAGATAAATTTTGACTCCATCGATTTCAAACGGAAACATTTGTCGAAGACTGAATAAATCAATCGATAAAAGGTATACTATCGTATCGCGATAATATTCAAATCGTGAAAATCGCAATTTCACAACGTATATCGTCATAAGCAGTTAGAAGCCTCCAAAAAAGAACGATCGATGAGCAATGAGGAGGGGAAGGGACCTTTATGACCATGACAGGATGATCCGGGTATCCTGGAATGAATCGACACTCATTGTAAAAAGAATAAAACACCAAATCTAAATATATGTACACGTAGGCGGGCACAATGGTGCGGCTCCTACAAAACTTGTAAAGAATCCGGTTAATGCATTAATCAATAATTGATTATGTATCACTTTCTATCTACGGAACACCCGGCTTATATTTTGAAGTTCTATTTAAAATTCCTCCGCTTTTCACAAATATCAAAGATTGCATTAAAAACATATTTATATTTAGATAGTAAAAAGAGTCTAAAGAACATTTTAAAAGTGTATAAAAAGAGATAAGGTATTGTTTTTTAGACGTCTTTTAGGGATATGTGCTCTCTTTCTTGGTCACTTTTTCTATCTCTTTGTCACTCTTTCTCTCTCTTTGTCTGGGTCGCTTTCTCTCTCTCTCTCTCTCTCTCTCTTTGTCTGAGTATATTTCAAAGAAAATTTTTCAAATATTACAACCCTTGTTGATTGAAATATTTTTTAAAATACGAAAGATTTATATATATATATTTTTTAAATTTAAATATATTTTAATTTTTCAATATTTTATCATACACGCACACACACACTCGCGCGCGCATGCACATGCACACACATGATTATGTTCATTATAAAAATGGTTTAAAATTAAAAAAATAAAATTTTTTAAAAGATTAGAAACAAGTGCACCTTTTCTTATTTGTGTATTTTTAAAGCAATATGCAGTATGTGTATGATGAGATATTAAATAAAACAATAGATAGATAGATATTAAATATGATGGGATATTAAATAGAACAATAGATAACAATAAAACAATAGAACAAAAGAAAAATTTAAAAAATAAAAAAATTATATTATTATAACTTCAGATTATAAACAAAAACATGTATATAATTAAATATATATATATATATATATATATATATATATACATATATAAATATATATATTTTTAATTATGTGTGGAGATGATAAATATAGTTAGTGAATATACATATATATGTATATATATATCAGTGGTATATATACAAAATGTACAATATATAATAAAGTAACTTATGACAATTTTGTTACATATTCCTGTTGGCATTGTCAAAACTTTGTCTTTTAATAAAAGACATTGGAATTATAACAGTGGTCATATATTATGAAGTATTTTAAAATTCATAATTATTTAACTAAATAGATTATAATTACATATCAACTAGTAGTAAATTTCACAATAATTTCACTATACTGAAAAGCTTTCACCACAACCACATGTCCCTTTAATATTTGGATTATTGAATACAAATTCAGAACTTAATTTGTTCTCAACATAATCCATTTCTGTTCCAAGAAGAGACAACTGCGCCTTTCTATCGATAAATATACGAACACCATCTTGAATTACTTCTTCGTCAAGTTTGGATTTTTCTTTCGCATAATTCATAGTATAACTTAAACCATTGCATCCCCGTTGCCGTACTCCGACCTTAAGTCCAATCTATGAATATGCAAGTAAAATACAAATTTAATATATAAAATGTTCAATAAACAAACATTTATTTTAAAAACTTATATATACATATCTTAGAAACGTAGTTCACTCAGTTATAAAATTAGACATTTTTTTTTTTAATGTTGTTATGTAATTCAAAAATATTACATATATATAAAATGTACTTACGTATTCAGTCTTATCTTTCAAAATTTCTTTGATCTTATTAACAGCATTGGGTGTCTAAAACATAAAACATTTTCCTTCATCAGTGTTTATATAAAAATAGATCCGAAAAAGTAAGGTTAGTATTCATCAACGTAAACATGTTGCAATATATTGTGAAATAATATAACTACGCAAAAAACATAAACCAAGATATGTTGCAAAACCTGTTGTAATAAATGATTGTAATAATTATTTTAAAAAAAATTCATTTTTAACATTAAAATTTACAGTATACTTTCCTTAATATTCATTTTCATTCTATATTCAAATTCAAGTATTTAAATTAAATAATGTGCAGTTGTTTCTGAAAAAAGTTTAAAAAATAATAATTTATAATTTATAATCTATACTGACCAGAACAAGCGCAGCGCGAGTTGGAAGAATCTTTCTTCCTTTCACAGCACGTATTGTGGCAGTCGCCACCGTGGACGATGCCATTTCTGATGCACAAATCTCACTGCCGTTCTAAACATCTGATATTACGTACGATTCTAAAGTTAGTATTGGCACGGGTGGCACCCGATTGACCACGTCGCCAATTGGCCAATTCAAAATAGGACTCTCTGATTGGTTAATCATTGCTGGTTACCCTAGGCACAGGTCGATATAATTGGCTGTGGTCAATCGCAACGTGTCAAACGGGACGCTCCCATTGGCACTACTAAATTAAGAAAGCCCACTCGTATCGCCCAGTATCTAGGGGAATCAGCAGCGGTTGACCAATCAAAAAGTTTCTTTATTTTGAATTGACCAATTCGATGTGTGCAATCAAACGTCACTCCAAATTCAATTGAACACAAATATGGCGTCAAATGCTTAATAAGTCACTAGACTCTAGTGATTCATATTGGGATGTTAGCGTTACAAATGCTTCAAAGTATTTGATTGATCAATTGGAACAAAGAAATTTTCTTCCGTTCCGATTGGTCAATCAAATGCTTCAAAACATTTGTTCCATCAAGTGAATTATACTTGTAATCGTCAGTCAAACAAACTTGTCGACTTGTTCGCGATTTATTGGACGAATATAAAAAGAATATCCAATAATGGTAAATATAAAAAATTATATAGTATACTAATTATATATAGGAAATTATATAGTTGATTAATTCATCGATTGTACGCTGTTAATAAGTATTAGAAATATTGTTTTATTGCATGTTAAATAAATATAAGTGCTTTATGAATATGTGCTATGTAATTATAGCCAATATCTCATTTTTTTCTCGTATAATTTATATATATATATATATATATATATATATATATATATATATAATTATATATATATGCTACAAAGAATAAAAGAAAAATGTATATATATTTTTTTTAGCATGGTCGAGTAAAAGTGCGTACTACAGCAGAACAGGAGGAGATAAAGAAAAGGGAAAGAGCAGCCAAAGTTGTTCAATACAAGGCTGATATTGCTACAGTATTTCAAAAGGTTTTAACTTTTTCTTATCATTATGCAGCTTTATCTCATACATGATTATCAGATTGTTTGTATTTCAGAGGAAAGATAAAATATGGGATGACGAATTATTATTAATTACTAAGCGTATGCTGTTAAGTAATTCAGACATTTATACATTATGGAATATTCGTCGTGAAGTTTTCCAGAATAACAAATGGTAATGTTACAATACGATGCTTGATTTATATATAGTGAATAAATATTAATTTATCTATGAAAATATATAGGACTGATGAAGAATACAAGCAACTACTTGAAAATGAAATGAGTTTAACTGAAAATTGCCTTAAAGATAATCCTAAATCATACAGTGTATGGCATCAAAGATGTTGGGTGATGGAACAAATGTCTGAACCTGATTGGAAGAGAGAATTATCACTGTGTGCAAAATGTCTAAATATAGATGAAAGAAATTGTTAGTAGATTATGTCTCTTATTATTGTATATGCAAAATATACAATATATATATGTATAAATGTTGCATAAGTATATATAAGTATAATATGTATGACATTGTTTTGATATAAAGATACATTTTTTTTTACTGTAGTTCACTGCTGGGATTACAGAGAGTTTATTGTACAAAAAGCTGGGATCTCTAATGAAGAAGAATTTGAATTTTCCACCACAAAGATATTAAATAATTTTTCAAATTATTCATCTTGGCACTATAGAAGTCGAATATTATACAAAATGTTTGGCACTACATTAGAGGAGATACCAATCATAGATGAAAAATATAGAGAAGGTAATTTTTAGTATAATGCTTTTTATCTTTTGAAATAATAATGAAATAATATTCTTCAGAGCTCGACCTTGTCATGAATGCAACTTTTACCGATCCCAATGACACTAGCGCATGGTTCTACCAAAGATGGCTTTTAGATAAGTGCATGACAACTTGCAGGCTGTGGCGTGCTATTATTAAGAAAGATATCGCTTATGTTATTATTGACAACAATATACTGATTGAGCCAGTTTCACTTTCACTATATATAAATAGTGAGGTTGTTGATGTACAATGGCAACTATATCCAGATGAGAAGTTTGCCAAGTTACAAATTGCAAGATTTGTGAAGCCATTAGAAAATTTGGATCATGCCAAAGAAGTTTTTATAAAATTGCAAGAAACTACATATAAACTCTCATATTCAGAAATAGAAAGTGCATGGATTTACAAAGATAATTCAAGTTTGCATAGACAAAATAGTAATGACGAACAATTAAATGAACAATTAAAGAGTTACAACCAACTTTCCAAAATGGAACCAAATAATAAATGGGCTTTATTAACTGGTATATTATTGATGAAGAAGATTGATCTTAAAAAATTTTATACCGATATATTAAATAATTTGATGCTGCTATCGAAAATCGATAGTCTTCGCAAGAATTATTATAAAGATTTGCGTAAGTATAATATATTTATATTTATTCATAATAAAGTCTTTATTAATTTTAGCAAAATTTATCAATTCCACTTATGTTTCATTTGCTTTTTATAAACATGCTTTTATTACTTGTAATTTTAGGAAGCAAACTCTTGGTGGAATATAATTTGCTCGAAATATGGAAAAAGGAGAATGATATGGAAATACAAATCAGAATTGATTTATCAGGATTAGATTTAACGAAATTACATAATAATCATTACTTTGGTTTGTTTGAGATAGTGAACCTTGATGCAAATCAATTGGAGAATTCTTTGCATCAACTTTCTACGTTACAACGATGTACAAGGCTGTCACTCTCCAGCAATGGCATAACATCATTAAAAAATTTTCCTACTCTACATAATCTCGAATTTTTCTCTTTGAGAAATAATAAATTAACAAACTCAGAAGAGATATTAAATTTAATAAAACGACATAAGAACTTGAAAAATTTAGATTTAACAGATAATCCAGTATGTGAAAAGCTTGAGCCTCAAATTCTGAATGTACATCTTATAACTAATCTGTCCCTTGAAAGTTAAAAATAACATCAAGAGAGAAATATAGTTTATATATATAATATATTAAAATGTATTTAATGGTAACACATGCACTTTTTAGATTTCTATTAACTATTGTTTTTACTATTTTTCAAGAAAATATTCACTATCAAGAAAAATATTAAATCAAATTCAGCTTTAAAAAAATAAAATTCTCACAAAAATTTGATTATAATATCACTTCCCATTCTCCTTTTTTCTAGACAAAAGAGACTTTTTCTTTTCTCAAAATGTTATTTTGTAGCATGTATTTTTTCTTACATCTATGTAATAGACTTCTCTTTCAAATATAGATAAATTAATAAAAATGTGATATAAACAAATCATTGAAAATGTTTGTTTTAACTAAAAATTGTTACTATAATTAAAATTTTTTATTAAATATTTTATATATATTATATATTTACATAAATAATACTTACATTTTTACAATACTACATGTTTTGATAGTAACTGGAATAGTTATCCGAGTCTAAATCTGCTGTAGATGAATCGCCTGTATTGCATGGTATTGTTGGTATATTTGATCCTTGAATTGTGAAACCATGATAATCTTCAGAGCTAATCGGTTTCAATACAGGTGGACATAAATTTGCTTCAAGTGTTGGGGACTCGTCTATTAAACTATCTGTCATGTGTTTTTTAAAGAGCTGTGATTCGCCAAGAGCAACATCAGATTGTGTATCTAAACTGATGAGACTAGTTTCGTCTTCGCCCTTACTAGCTTCCAGACTATCGTCGCCGATAAGGGATGGAAAGTCAAATGTCGGCGACGGCGTCACGGAATCCTCTACCAATGATGTTCTCATCAAATCACTAGATAGATCTGTCATTACACCGCTATTTACATTATCGCCGATAGAATGCGGATATATCTGTTATGTGAGATAATTTAAAATAATATTTTGCAATGTTTCATTGATACGAATAGTACATTATAAAAATTGAATAAAAGTTGCAATTATCCTCACCTGTGGAATAATTGGCGGCGGTAGCTGATAGCTTTCGAAATCCTCGCTATCTAAATTAGTAGGTATTCTCTGACTGTGAGATATCAACAATGGTGTTCTTTCAATCACTTTACTCACATCCTCTTTAATCTTTTCTTTGAATTCTATCATTTTGTTTTTCAGTTCTTCCGCTTGTTTCATAATGTCAGCATTTTTAGCTTGCAAATCATCCAACAAAGTTATATCTTCACACATAAAGTGTAAACTCTATTTTACAATAATTACAGATGTCATAAATTATGTCTATGATATAATAATCAAAATTTTAAATGCTTAAAAGAATATTACTTCGCATATCATAAGAGCCGATTCCCATGTATTAGCTGGAACGCATTCCCCTGACATGTATGCATTAAAGTCCTTCTCAGCCATATTTAAGGATTCTGCAGTCAAGTTTTCGATAAATGACACAGCACAACACTATAATATATTATAAATGATTATATAGATAACTCAAAAAAAATTTGCAAAATGTAAAACACTTTAACAAATTCAAAATACCAGATTTGTGAAGTAATATCCTCCTTCTCCAGTCATTAATCTACTGGCATTGCAAAATCTTGTAATAAAATTTATATTGCTCTTGAGACGCGCAGGATTAGCTTTTAAAACAATAAATATGAGTGCTGGAAGGAATTCATCAGCAGATGCTGGCCCATCGACAGATTGTTGTAATAATAAGAATATATTTCTACAGCAATGAATAACACATGCCAATTTCTCTTGAGGTGCTTTGGCAGAATCCATATTTAAAAGATCTAAAAAAGGAAGTTTCTATTATACTGCACTACACATAGAGACATGTGCATATAATACCAAATTACAAAACTATATGAATTTGTAGTAATTAATAATATAGCAAACCTGTAATGGATGTGTAAACAAGTTCTCTAACTTCTGAGCTTGTTTCGTGAATTCTGCATTCTAAATTTTTACCGCTAACCCAATTTAATTGCCGTATCCTATTAAGTAAAAGTTATTCAATATATTTTATATTAAATATAAAATGATTATTCAAAATAATAATTACAAGATTCATATAATGTAAGAATGAACTAAATAGATCAATTAATTACAATTTTTTATTTTCATGAATTTTTGCACATAGTTACAATAAAATGTGTGTACAATCACTATAAAAAAATTAATTCAATATATTTACAATTTCGAGATTATATTACATTCTATAGGACAAATTTTTACTTTAATTCATAAATTTAATAATATTATTAAATTAATAATATTAATTTATAAATTTATTATTAATTTTATATTTTAAATGGCTAAAAATGCTTTACAAATTGTCAGATTTATGAAACTCAAAATGTTATTAGATTCCATTAATTTTTGATGTAACTGATCCATTTAGCTCATTCTTAAACTGCTTCCCTAACTTATAATATAAACCTTTTTTGTATAGCCAAATCTTTTTCTTCATCTGATGTGAATGGAGGACAGAAGAGAATTCTATACAACAAAGTCATTGCATATCTTTCAACATAATCTAACAATTTCTCTTTAATATCTGATGGTATATCTATAACAAAAAGCATAATAATATATCTATAACAAAAAGCATAATAATATATAAATCTTCAAGTGTTTCTGCAGAAACACATAAATATGGCATATATTTCAAATTAAAAACCTGCATATTTGGTGCTATTTTCTAAGCGTTTCCCAAACACATGATAAAAATTTTGTGTTATCTCCGACAATTCTTCTATTCTTTTTATATCTTTGTTTTGGAGTATGTCTACTACAAATGAATGTATGCACTTTCGTACATCCTTTTCTATGGGAGTTTTGGCTATATATAACAATAAATCTCGATTTTCTGCCTTAATTTTTTCAAGATCTGGATTGTCCTTTAATAACTCATGATATAATTCCTGATAACCTTGAACTTAAAATTTATTATTGATTAAATATAGAAATAACTTGTATATATTTGTATAAATATTTGTATAAATAATTGTTTACAATATACCAAAGTATCATTATAATATACCTTTTGCGGTAGGTTTCCTAAATGAAATGTTTAACAATTTATATTTTTTCTCTTGCTGTACTTTTTTCTCCTCCTTATGACTTCCAGCACTCAGTGATCGATTAATGTTATCTCTAAAAGAACAATAGTTAGATTATATAAAGTAAAAATAAATAAGATAAAAATTAATGTTTTTCAGAAAAATCAAAGATTAAAGAGCAAACCAGCAACAAAAATAGTGACAACTTCTATTCAATGTTCAATGACTATGAATGAAAGTAAATATTTTTTTATTAATACAAATATAAATATAAAAATATTTAGCTTGTAATTCATTTATTCAAGGTGTAAGAAGATTGTACTAAACATTATATCAAAAGACCTGCAGTATCATTTGAATCTTATAGAAACCAAATTGATTGTCTGATTAGTATTCTACTAAAATTTAGAAACTTACAAAAAATAGCAACTGATTGGTTTAAATTTTTAAAGATTCAATCCATAATCAATATCTAAAGGGGATTCTTTATGGAAAGAATCTGAGAGTCAAAACTACTACTTATGGCAAATATCTTATAAAAAATATACACCAAATATATTTATATATAATGTCAGTTTATACTGATCCATATATCTTCATCATCCAGAAACAGCAAAATGTAACAACAATAAATTGTAAGGGTTAAACAAATATTACGTGTCCGAAACTTGCGAATGAGATGTGCGTTCAGCCTGAGCGCGTCGTTTTTGTAAGTGTTCCCGATGACATTTGCTGCAATAACCTTCCCATTCTGCGTTGCCATAAAACCCACAGCCGTTTTTACACTTCAAATCAGCCTCGTCAATCCGGAGAGTCGGTGTTTTCGTAGAATACATGCCTCCGCGCAATCAAAATAAATGTTTCTGCCGGCAAGTAGATACAAAGCTGTCTTTCCAGTTAAAGACAACTGATTTAAAGTTTATATCCAGATCCCAAAGCTGAGAACTGAATGTTTTATATTTTAATCTCCGTCAAGACATCTTTACTACTTTTATAATGATTAGCGATAATGCTTTGCGAATGGTTAAATGTCACTTTTGATGGAAAAATTGACAGAACGCAAAAACAGATTAATGACAGCGGACGTTTTCCAATCAGAGACACAGTTGATACAGTTGACAAGAATGATAGATGATATTTCATAGGCAATGAAAAGCAGCAGAAGCAGTAGTGAGCAGCAGTTTAGTTTTGATTGGCCCGTTTCCATTATTTACTATAATGCATTATTTACTATACTAGCTACTGTATTTCACTGCGGGAGCGTCCCGTTTGACCACGTTGCGATTGACCACAACCAATTATATCGACCTGTGCCTAGGGTAACCAGCAACGATTAACCAATCAGAGAGTCCTATTTTGAATTGGCCAATTGGCGACGTGGTCAATCGGGTGCCGCCCCTTCACTGCCCATGAAATATCTCCCTAAATCATTTGAAACCGCCATAAGCATTTTTATATAAAACAAAGTCTCCTATTGGATATCCCATTATCGAATTTGTCGTACGTTGAAAATCGGACGCAGTGTGAACCCTCCATTAATGTTTATAGAAAATTTCAATGTTTTGATACCAAATTAAAATTTATTATTTATAGTTTGTTTGAAGAGATATAGCTTGATGAATTTGAATCTTTCCTATGTATATATATATGTGATATATCTGCAATATGAATCCCTTAACGTATGTATTTTTCAATTTACAATTTGTATGTATATAGGTTAAGAATTATTAGTGCATATAAATAAAAGAAAAATATAACTAATAGATATATAAACCTATTTTACATACTATATATATATTTAATTTTAAATTATATATATATATATATATATATATATATATAAAACAAACATTTTTAATTTAGAAGTTATATGTATTACATTTATACTGTGATTATATTTTTAGTAATGTCAAAAATATAAAGAAACTCAATGAACAAGAGTTGCAAAGTAACAGCAAAACATCTTGGCATGACCAATATAAAGATAGCGCTTGGATTTTCATTGGTGGCTTACCATACAATTTAACAGAAGGTGATATTATCGCTGTATTTTCTCAGTAAGTTAAGATTTGTATATAAATTGTGATTATCATTTGTATGCAAAACTCTTTATAATAAATATATTATAGATATGGAGAAGTAGTAAATATAAACTTAATCAGAGATAAAGATACTGGGAAACAAAAAGGATATGGTTTCTTGTGTTACGAAGATCAAAGAAGTACTATACTGGCAGTTGATAATTTTAATGGTATAAAGGTACATTTTGACACTAATATATGGTTGTAAATTATTGTTTTCATTTGTTAACAATGTTAAATAAGTATATAGCAAAATAACAATAATTTCTAGTTAAAAGTGTATGCATGTATATGTATATATATATACATATATTTTGTTTCCCTTAAAATTATAATAATTAAAATATCCCAGTATAAAAAACCTTTGTTATTTAGATTTTAGGTAGAGTAATTCGAGTGGATCATGTCACCAATTACAAAGCACCAAAAGACTCCAAAAATGTAGATGAAGAAACAAACAAATTAAGGAAAGAGGGTTGTGCTCCAAAAAAAGAATAATGTGTACAAGCTGTGTAAATAAAAAATTGATACATCAAGATATTGTTTTCTCCAGACGTATTGTTAGACTGATATTTTTAAATTTAATCACATACATAGACACATATACACATAAAAGCATAAAAATATTATTGAATAAAAGCTTCATTACTTACAACTGATTTGTTATTGCAAATTAAGTTATAGTGTGGGATATAATTAAGTTAGGTTTAGTTGTAGTAGTTATGACTGAAATTAAAAATACTAAACAAGTTATTATTATTTCTATCATACAGTCTTATTTTTCAATTTGATTTTCTTAAAGTCTCATATATAGGGAATACAATAAAGTCCTTTAGGATTTAGGATTAAAGATTAAGAAGTAACTCTCTGTTTCATATTAAAGAAAATAATATTAATCGTGTCAACATACGAGCAACAAGCTTGTCAATGAGTTATGTTATTATTTCTTAGCAGAATGGTATCAAGAGGAACCAAATTCGCTCATCCATTTCTCATATTTTTCCAAGTCCTCTTGGGAAACGCTTTTGTTACATCTCTCAACAGCTTCATCAAAATCTGCAGCAGATACAGGTAAATCCAATTCTTCCTTTGGCAATTGCCTAATCTGATCAGGCCTCAAACCTGCAATTTTCTTTCGCATCAACATCATAGAAGCATCTCTGAAATAATGAGTATGTAAATATGTTATAAAAGATATGTAGATTTTCATAATCCTCAATTTCACTAATTCTACACTCACCTACAAACATTTGTGATATCTGCACCAGAATAACCTTTGAGTTTCCTTGCAATATCTGTCAAATTTACAGATGAATCCACCTTAACCTCACGAAGATTTATTCTTAATAATGCTTCTCTGCCTTCGTCTAAGTAATGAAAAAACGAAAAATTATATTTTATATTAAACATTAGAACATGTTGCATGTTGAGAAATAAAAATTTATCAGGACTTACGATTAGGTAGCGGAATGTAAATACGTTTTTCCAAACGCCTTCTTAAAGCTTCATCAATATCCCATGGGAAATTTGTTGCTGCTAATACCATCACCACTTTACTTGGATCTTCACTATAAAAAAACAAAGATATTTAATATTTACTTATATATTGTTATAATCAATAAAGCAAGCATCGTACAATGTTTTACCTATTGGAACTGATTCCATCCATTTGAACAAGAAGCTCAGATTTCACACGACGTGAAGCTTCATGTTCCGACTCAGATCCTCTTCTAGAGCACAGAGAATCAATTTCATCAATGAAGATTGTACTGGGTGCATAAAATCTAGCCTGTCCACATAAGATGTAAATTAATACTGTGAATAGAACGTTATGTTTCTCTAGAAAAGTCGACAGAAAATTGCCTAGATACAGATATACAGTATTAATTTTATTAAAATATTTTACCATTTCAAACAATAGTCGAACGAGTTTCTCTGATTCACCTCTATATTTTGATGTCAAAGTAGAGGAAGAGACATTGAAAAATGTTGTGCCACATTCTGTTGCAACAGCCTTTGCAAGCATAGTTTTACCTGTGCCTGGTGGCCCAACCATGAGTACTCCTTTCCAAGGTCGTCTAATTCCCTAAAAATATCACATTTATATTAACATTGTGAAATTTTATTACAATTTATTATTATGACAAATTGAGAAAAGATATACTTTGAAGAAATCAGGCATCCACATTGGAAGCACAACTGCTTCCTCCAACAATCTTTTTGCTTCATGTAAATCTGCTATATCGTCCCAATGAATATTTGGATTTTTTTGAACAATATCTCTTTCTATAATTTTAACAACAAAGTCTCAATAATTGATCATTTGTTTTTTTATATTTTTACCATTATTATAAATAATTAAATAATAATTGTAACTAATAACAATAATATTTACCTAATATTTCTACAAGATCTTTATCAGTAGTAGATGGCTCAAATTTGCGTTCTTCCAATTCAACATCTTTTTCTGTCTCTGATTTGTCCTGTAAGTATTGTAGTTATTGATATATATCAATATTCATAATTTTCTACAATCTTAAAATATAAATATATATTTCTCTCTTTCTTTTATTTAGCAAACTGCATGACCTTATTGGTATCATCTTTCTTTACAATCTTCTTGTCATCTTTTTTGGTAGAAGGCTTACTATCTGGTTTTTTAGTAGCAATAGATTTTCTAGCATTTGTCCGATTTTGTTGTTTCTGTTGAACCTTTTGCTGCTTTAAATTCCTGAAAAATGTAATTAGCTAAACATTTTCTTATAGTCAAGCATACAACATATATATGATAATGGAAAAAATATAAGCAGAAATATTTAAAAAAAGAAAAAATTTAATTAAATATATATATATAGAAAATTTTAATGAAGGTATGAAATATTATAAATTTATATTAATACTTTTGTTCCGCTGGAGTTAAAGGTGGCCATACATCAGGATCTCTAGCTGGTGTTTGATTCCAAGAGGGTTCCGAATTGCCATAAGACCACAATGCAGGATCTCGTGTTGGTTCTTCAAACGACAAACAGGATGTTCCTGAAATTTGTTACCCCATCACTCTAAATAGAAAATTTATCTTAATTTTAATTTAATTATCTTAATTATACTTTTTTTACCGAGCAGTCTTTCTGCATGAGTATCCACTTTGAAAAGTTGCAACGTATTGGATGTAGCTTTCACTTCTTCAAACTCTTGGACAATTTGATGTTGTACAACTTGCCACTTTGCTTTACGAGTCGCGTCTGCTATGGTCGCGAGTAATCTATGTATTTGTTGCACAACTCCCTGATAATAGACGCCAGACGTGTCGTAATTTCCCATCAATGCCATCTCACGCGCAAGTTTCGTATTCTCGCAAATTTCGTTTATTGACACAGCCATGATTTCGCTTTCACATACAAGGGAAGATATCGATATAAATACAAAATTTATCAAGCTCTCAAATATGTATAAAGCGAGAGCATTAATCACGAAATCGTTAAATTACTCCAAAGTTTCTGTAATGGCGATAATTCGTTTGCTTGTACATCGGTGTACATTTTCTCTCGTTCTAGTTAACGCAATAGTTGTAGCAAACTACACAATTACATAGCTGCAGGTTAATTCTCATCGAACAATTGTATTATGATTATTGCATAAATTAATTCAGGCAGCAATAAATTCTCGCTTGTTTTTAAATTGATTTGCTAGCCAAGTTAAATGCTTTCACAGAAATTACGCGAAAGCTCTCATAAATTTTCTGTCATGTTTGACATTTTTACATTTACTTAATTGACATATATACCACACACACACACGGAAGATTACGAAAATAATTTCCTGATTGTCATGCGCATAAGAGCCGATTAGTTTGCGCATGCGCATCATTTGCGAGATATCCACCAATATTGCGTTTCAAAATTTACTCTTTGGGATAATAATAGGGAAACAGAATTGAGATAGAATTTGATTAGCCAATCAGGATAAAGAAATTTTTATTTCTCTTATTCTGATTGGTCGAAAACTATTTTACTCCAAGAAGTAAATTTTAGAACACAATCCAAATATGTATTTAATTCGATGACAGGAAGCTTTTAGCAAAAAAAAAAAAAAACAAATAAACATAATGGCTAATGTATAGTTTACGTAACGTACACTATAGATTTTCAGTACTAGCAATAAATTTTGGAACACAGCCAATGCAATTAGCTATTGAATAGAGAATCTTTTAAGTTTCGGTATTCTTTTTATTTTATAACCAATCGCGTGTGATATTGTATTTATCTTTCTTCCTGGCAAGTTTCCACAAAAGAGCACCATATGTGCTCTCTATACTTGGGCTGCTTTTAAAAATTTATGACATATACAAATTCACTGGACAAGCTCTTGTTTTTATAACTATTTAACGTATTTTTAGATCCATCTATGACCTTGTTCCGAAATTACTGCCAGTTTACTGCCAGCACTGAAAATGTGTAATATACGTAATGTGCACTATAGAATTTACAGTGGGTCTGTTCGTTTTAACTGCACTGCTGCACTTGTGCAATTAGTTAGAGTGAAAGAAGGTATGTTTGTCTCTTTCTAACTTATTGCACTAGTGCAGCAGTGCAGCTAAAACGAATAGACCCAGTACTGGCAGTAATTTCGGAACACGGCCTATATCGATCAATTTTCAAATTTGATGCTCGACAGTTTTTCTGAACACAATCAATAGGTGGGTTCAGCAGAGAAAACTGCTCATTAGTAATCTAACGTGATTGGTTGCTACTTTCAGATTCAGCAAATCAGCGTCGAATGTTACAAGAGTATGACACGATAGTTTTCTTCACTAAACGCAGCTATCGATGATCAATGGCTGCTATATGTCTTCCTGTCGGCGTGTTTCTCCTTCATTTTCTTACTTGTACCGGTCGTAGTTTGAGCTACGATTCAAGTATTTTTACTAATAATAGTTACCAAGAAATTCTTCAACAGCTAAACAAAGGTAATTAATTTACCACAATTTATTCCTTCATATTCTATAATGACATATTTTGTACGTTTAATTAAATATTTGCTTTTTCGCACGTACTTTTGTTCCGCCATGTTACACGTGGATTTTGAATTCACAAATTGGAATAATTTAACTCATTTTTTTCGTTATATATTCGTATTTTTTAAATTCTTTCTTACAAATAATGAGAGAGCGTCCCTCTGAATCTTTTATGATTATTCCAATTTTTAAAAATTTAATACTAAATTGATATAATTGCGTGAATTTTATTTCAATAACCGTCATTGAAAAAGTTCGTTATTTAGTCGCTATATAAAATATCATCGATTGCAACAATTTCTTAATATTTTTCAGAAGATTAAAATAAAAAATATTGAAAATTAAAAAAAGGAGAGAGAGAATAATTATTGACTTCTAAACTTATTTATGTGTACTTTATTTATATATTTTAGACTTGACCACTAAGTTTTTGAGTAATTATAATACTGTTGTAGATATTTAGAGAAAATGGCTAAACCAAAATCGGGGGAGAATAAGGATTTAAAGAATGTGAAGAAACAATTGCACACAATAAAAACTGGATCAATAAAGAAGGACAAGAATCCCAAGTTTAAGAATACACCAGTGGGCAATGTAGCTTTGATTAATAACTCAAAAGCAAAGAACAAAAATACACCATCTCAGAAAAATTTCCAGAAAAATAAAGATGTAAAGAATAATGCAAAGCAATTGAAACAAAATTCCCCCAATGAAGCACAAAATAAACCAGGCAATAAAAAAATTAATTTAACCCCTACAAAAAAGTTGGAGGAAAGTGATGATTCTAATTCTAACGAAGAAGTCATTAGTATCTGTAAAGAGGAGGATACATTTGAGGAATCTGATGTCGATATCCCAAACATCTTTGGAAAAAGCTTACAAGATGAATCGGATGAAGATGATGAGGACTTTGAAGAAGAAGAAGATGATGAAGATGAAGATGAAGATGATGATGATGATGATGATGATGATGATGATGAGGACGACGACGACAAAGACAAGGATAATGATCACATTAAGGGTGATCACACTAAGGATCTTAAAGATATGATGGTTAAATATGAAACTATGAACAAAAGAATTAAAAGTATGTTCGCAGAAAGAAAAAAAAAGAATGAGGATAATAAAAATAAATTGAATCACTTACAACCATGTACTAGTGAAATTAGTGATGACGATGATGATGAAGATGAAGAGGATGATAATGAAAGTGAAATGACAGATGACAGAAAGCATCTAATAGAGCTGCTTGAAAAAGCTAAGGCAAAGGCAGGAAGAAGGGAATTAGATGCAATGGGATTCGAATCAGATACAGATTTTGACAATTTCGAGAAGATTAGGCAACAAGTGGAAGATAGGCTGAATAAAAGAAATAACAATGAAGATGAGACTGAAGATGAGGATGATGATTATTATTATTATTATGATGATGATGATGATGATGATGATGATGAAGATGAGGATGAGGATGAGGATGAGGATGAGGATGAGGATGAGGATGAGAATGAGAATGAGAATGAGAATGAGAATAAGAATAAGAATGAGAATGAGAATATAGGTTTAAAGGCACTTTTAGGGAAATTGATTCCAGACGAAGATGATGATGAAGATTTTAGTGAAGAAGATGAAGATGATGAAGATGACGATATTAGTGATGAAGATGAAGATAGCGAAGAGAATGATAATGTAATAAAAATTACAAAAGAAAAAGATGTTAAACCACCTAATAGTAAAGATATTCGTAAAGGACAAAAACAAGTAAAAGAAGAGATAAAATATCAATTAACTGTTGAAAGACAAGAAGATATTGATAAAAAGACTATCTTCATTGATAATATTCCAAAAGACACAAAAGAAGCAGAAATAAAAAAAGTGTTTAGCAAATTTGGACCTATTAATAACTTACGTTTTAGAAATATTGTTCCTCAAAATCTGAAAATGTCTAAGAAAGTAGCTGCTATAACAAAGCAGATTCACCCAAAAGTAACTACAGTTGTGGTATATATTAATTACAAGTCCAAAGAATCTGCTCAAAAGGCGCTTAGCATGAATGGAAAGATATTTCAAGGAAATTATATACACGTACAAATAGTGAGTGATAAATCTATGAAAAAAGAATGGAATAATAAGAAAGCTGTATTTATAGCAAATTTGAGATATGGTATGCATATAAAATTATTGTTGATGTTTTATTATAATTATACAATAGAAAATTTAATAATTGATAGTTAATGTTTTTTTGAAAATTTAGGCACAGATAATAATACAATCTGGAAACACTTTGGTATATGTGGAGATATAGAATCCGTACATTTAGTACGTGATAAAGAAACAGGTCAAACTAAAGGATTTGGTTATATCAATTTTATAGATGAAAATGCTGTATTGTGTGCTTTAGAATTAGATGGTACTGAGATTATGAACAGACCAGTACGAGTAGAACCATACAAAATAAATAGCGCCAACAAGAAGGGAAGAAAACGAGATTGTCCAAGTAACAATGATGACAATCCACGAAAAAAATCTAAGAATAATTTGGGAGAAACTATAGCATATAGAGTAAGTACTTCATTTTTTTGATAAAAATAGAATCGATGCATTATATATATATTTTGTATTCTTTTTTTATAGGTTAAAAGTGTAACAAATATTAAAAAGCAAAAAAAATTACAGAAAAATAATGTAACCTCTCAAGAAGAAGGATCGATTTTATTTCAGGGTCAAAAAGCTAACTCCAAGAATAAAAAAAAAGAAAATAAACTTGATAGGAAAAAAAAGAAAATGGCACAAAAGCTTGCAGCAAAATCCAATAAATCAGTAAAAGTTTAAGCTAATAATGTTGCGATATATTTTAGTTTTTTTTTTTGGACGTAGTTATAAGATTTTTTATATTCAAAGACAAGATTTCTCTATCACATTTATTTAACTAGTATCCTTTATAAAAATTCAACATTTTTATAGAAGATTAAAAGTTCCCCATGAATTGGTTCAAATATAAATAACTATCAAATAGCATGTATATAAATAAAGTTTGTTCTTTGTATCATTAACTTGTATCTTTTTTTTTAATAAATGCATTATTTTGAAGAATCTTCATAATGTTTCATTAAATTGTTAATTTTACCATGTATTTGAAATGGTAATTTCTGCATATTATTGGATGCACACTTTAAACAGAAACGTTGTGTATAAAATATGCTGCATCCTAGGCATACAGTACATTTGCATATACTGCAATCAGCGCCCAAGACTAAAACTTCGCCTCTGTTTGGTAAACTGAACGGATCTTTTATAATATAACACTCTTCCAGATAAACTAATTGGCGAGCGAATGGTGGTTTTGTACCTTTGTAATCGTAACGTTCCTTTAAATAACAAAAAGAACATGTAAAATTGTCGCATACATTTGCTGCCATTTGCTGACTTGTAGAAGTATTCCATTTCATCTGTTTACAAATATCGGATTCGTCCACTGGTGTACTAGCAAGATTTTCCATCCTATAAAACAACAAGGAACACAATCTACTAGATTATTGATATTATGTTGTAACAAATTTATTTTATGCGCATAGAATTTTTACATATCACGTACATATATCACAATTTTCTATCAATATCGATTATCAATTTATTAATATATTATACAATGTCAACTAGATACTGAATAGCTACTTTGTATCTTTAGCAGAAACTGTTTCTGTTTTCTGAATTTCTTGAGGCCACCACGTGGGTTTGACAACTTTTAAATTTATACCCAATACATTAAGCCGCCGAGCACTGAGGGATTCATTAATCCGCATTAAACCTAATCCATATTTATCGATATATCCCCGAAATTTTCCTACCACATTGTCCGATTCATCGAGAATCTTCTCGTCATATGCGAGCGGTTTGTCCACGATACTATCAAACATTAAGGGCATCAAGCGCTTTCTGACCACGCCTGTATGATATGTCCGCGCAGTTAATTCCTGACCGACATAACAACCTTTGTGAAAACTAACGCCGTGCAAATAGTCACAATTGATCTCCAAAGGCAGTGCCTTTCCTGGTGGTAGATCATGTACACCTTCTCCTATTCCCAATTTATAACGAAATGCTTTGTAGTTCGCGACATTCTCAGATAAAAATACATCGGAATCTAAATGTTTTGTTATTTCACGTTTGTCGATCTGCGATTCGGCTAAAATCCTGAGACCTAAATCGGGCAATCTTGGATCTTCGTATATCATAATATTGTCGATGAACTTGCTGGCTTTACTATTTAGCGTGCCACATGGAAATATCATTCCTTCCAATTGACGCTTTCCATTTTCATCCACTGCGGGTCTATTATCATAGCGTTTAGTCGAATCAAACATTGACCAGACATTGATTTTATCGCCTATGTGTTTTATATCTACTTTTCGTCTTATACGATACATTTGCAAGTGTCTCTGTAAAGATTCAACAACTTGCAGGTCGCATTCTATATAATACATATTACTTTCTTCGGTCTTATACACTATGGCATCGTACATTACTCTGCCTCTAATGTTTAAAAACAAAGTGTAAATATTAGATGTTCCCTCCACGAGATGCTTCATATCGTTTGTGATTAATCCCTGTAGGAAAGTGGAGGCCTCGTTTCCGCTTACACGCAATATGCTTCTATCGTTCAAACGTTCTAGTATCTTGCCGCCAACTTGATTGGAATTGTGTCTAATTGCACAACTTTGATAGCTACCGATCCCTTTATTGCGCTTGCACATGTGGAAAGCAAAGCGATTAACGCAAGTGGTCATCGTGGCAGACATGAATTTTTAATCTTTTATTTTCTAAAATAGCATCCAATAAAACCGATAAGATATCCTAACCTCTGAATTCCTCAAATTATTACATGCAATATAATTAAGTATAAAAATGTTTAATCTTACATTTATATAGCAATTTTTGATCACGTATATTCCAAGTATGATCGCATATATTCCAATATGATTTGACAATTTGAAAATTCCATTCGCCTTTTTGAAGTATAAATCAGCTGATCAACAATTCCAAGGTTATGGTGCCCGTATTGAAGAATGACATTATCGACTGTTTTTATTAATATAAGAGTGTGTTCAAAAATTCTACTCGTGAAATGGAATTGCATCCATAATGTCGAGACAGTTATTATCGATTTATAACAGAACGTGAAAAATGTATACAGATGCTAATCAAAACTGATAAACAACCAATCATGTAAATATAATTTTTAATGCTCAAAATATAGATTTGTGAAAAATAGAAATAAAAAGATTGAAAAATGCTTTTATTGCGTGCAATAAAAAAATTTATAAATTTAAAGTACATACATTACGATATAAAATAAGATTTAAATAGATATTTTAAAATGAAGAGTTGAAACATATCGATAGAGTTAATATCGATTTATAAAAGAATGTGAAAATGTGTAGATACAAATATTAATCACGATAATTTTCTCTCGAGATGTATGGTAAATAGAAAAGAACGCGATGTAGTTTTATTTAAATGAAACTAATAACAACAATCAGTCGTAGCGTATAAAAAAATTCGCCGACCTATCGCGCGTTAACGAATGTGTCATTCAAATTTTCAATCGCGCGAAAGCTCGCGGCGTCATGTCATACGTTGCATGTGGTACGATATGAAAATGTGATCGTAGATCAAGGATTAAGGATTAGGTTAGTAAAGAAGAGACGAGAAGAGAAAGCAGTAATAAATTCGTTACAAATATTAGAGACATATAACAATTGTTAAGAGTGGCATATTATTAGAAGCATCGTACATTAATTAACGTATGTGATTATTAACTTTATATTCTTTCATAATGTAACAAACTATCAATTATAAAGATGATTTTTGTCATCAAAAATATTACGAATCGCGCGCATAATTGAACAGTATGGAACGTAAATTGTCGAACGCCTGTAGTAATAATTTAACAACTTTTAAATTAATTAGGCTCAATAGATCATTCTTTTGATTTGTATTTGATACTTTAACAACTTTTTTCTTTTTTATTTATTAAATGCGCATCAATAAATATAGAAAGTGACGCATATTTTGTATTATTTATCACGTAAATTCAACATCAGAAGTCTCATAAAGTCATAAGATAGATTCTCATATATTAAATCATATATTAAATTGACATACGCGTTAGCAGCATTTCTGGATTACGCGACCTATTAAAATATCATTATATTATTATATTATACAGCAGGGATTAAATTAAAATATGGGTTGTAATGAGTTAATAATTAGATATACATATGTATCTGTACGAATTTTTTTTCTTGTAGAAAAAAATACGTATTGAAAATGGTGAATTAAGTGCTGTATTTCACATTATAAATTTGTTGGAAAGTTGTTATATAAAAAGAGAGAAATCATGAAGATCCTTATTATGCTGTTTTAATTAATGAGAATATAAATTACATCTATTTATTAGGCAAAGTTAGTGCAATGTTAGTGCATCATCCTATGTATATAACTATGTATATAATACAATAATGTGTAAATTATAATCCAACAGCGATCAAATTTCTCCCAGTTATTATACATACATATATGAAATAGATGACTTTAGGCTATGGAAATACGAGAAAATAACAGCGATACATTATGTGGTGAGTAAATTTAGTTATTATATTTGCATGATATCGGTTTGCAATTTATTTTTAAGACAATTTTCATATTATAATGTCACAATATAATCAGGCTTTCTTTATTCTAATTGATCATGTAAATGCTTTACTCTATGGCTAAAATTTTTGAACTCATCTTTAAAAAGATTTCAGAGTTGTCAATCAGTTACCTAATTTCAAAAATGAGTCAAGCTATCAAATTGAATACTTGATATTGGAATATGTGATCAACTGCCATATAAAAGAAATATTTAAAAAATTTATATTTTTATGCATTATATTATTACACATAATAATATGTAGGAATAAATAAATAAAATTTTAGGACATTTTTAATATTCATCTTATTGATTATATGCATTTTTTTCGTAAAAAACTTTAATTGGAGCTAACAATCAGTAAAAAATAACAATTATGTACTACTTCTGTTACAGATCATAAATGTTTTGTAATAGAAAATGATACTTACATATAAAAAAATATAAAAAGATATATACTTTTATAACAAACTTTTCCACAATTTAAATTTATAGATGTTGACAATCTAATCTCTCAATATTTTAACTTATTTAACAAGCAATAAATTTTAATAAGCTCTACTGTTTTTTTAGAAGCATTTCTATGTGATGTGCATTTTATTCACTTTCTTTATTTTAACAAAAAAAAACAATGGTAATCACAATTAGATATCAATTGCTTGCATTTAATAAGACGATTGTTTTGTAGTTTTCTGTTCTGTTATCAGGTTTATTTTATGCCTCATGTTTAATAATCATTTCACTGTGATATATATTTATGGTGATATAATATTCTGCAAAGTGTGATACAAGAAATTATTAGTAGAAAATATATTTCACAACATTTTTCTGAGTAATAATAACTGTGCAGCTCATATTAATGATTTTTTGAAATATTATTTTGATAGTTGATATTTCTTCTAACTAAAAATTTAACTATTCTGAGTTATTCTCTATCTCAATTTTATCATTTATTTAAAGTAAATCTCACTTCAAGATAAAAACAGATTAGAAGTTTTAAATACAAACTTTTTATGACAAATTAGATAATATATACATGTATTCAATTTATGAAATTTTATAAAGCGTGAGAAGATGAAAAAAAGAAATTTAATATACATTGATATTAAGATGTAACGTTGCGAGTGTAGGATTTATACTGGATTGGTGGCGTATTAATCAATATTAGTTGCAGTAAATACATTTAAATATAAAATCAAATGAATCATTCACTATTTTAATAAAGATATAATTTTATAAAAACAATTTTTGGAAAATTGAAAAAGAACGCACTTGCGTTTTTTTTAAACTTAGAATTACAAGAGTGATTTTAACATAGAACTATAAGGATAAAATTCACAATTTTCAATAAACAATATGACAGATAATTGTGCAATGCAAAATTTAAAAATAATACATGTATACATGATAATATATTACTAATCCATTGACATATGACATATAACCAGTCTTTGCGCACATTTGTCACTGATCTTCCAATTCAGAAACATTGTTTCTTATATTTGCTATGCATGAAATGTGCCAATGGTGACATGTTAATTAATATTAAATTGCACAGTAAATATATTTGAATATAAATTGATTTGATATAATTAAATGAATCGTTTGCTACTTTAAAGATATTTTATGAAAACAATTTTTGGAAAATTGAAAAAGAACGTACATACATAAGTTTTTTTAACTTAAAAATACAAGAAAGATTTTAACATTGAATTATTGTAATGGAATTTTCAATAAACAATATGTCAGATTATTATAAAATATGAAACAATTTTAAAATAATATATGTATATACGATGAGTATATTGTGCTAATGTTAATCTAGTGACACACAACCACTCTTTGCACATATATGTGTCATTGATCTTTCAATTCAAACGATGCTTCTTATATTTGCTGTGCAGTGTGCTAATGCTAAATATTAACAGTCGAAATCTCTCGTGGAAAATTCACGCATGATCGTTTATATTCAATAGAATAATGATTCTTAAACTTTTAACATATAAATTATCTCGCAATGTTACAAAATGTAGTTTGCATTCAAACATAAAAATTTTAAAATTTTTTATAAAAACATATAAAAGTGTTATACATTGTTTCAATAACGCAATGTGGCGCACAAATATTAATAATAAGAAATAAATAAAATTTATTGCATAATTTTTTATATATAATAAAATGTATTATATTTTATTTATTTATATATATAATAAAATTTATCATATATTATTTATTATATATTTCTAAAAAAAGAATAAACTTAAATTTGACGTTTTTATACGATTTTTCTAGATTATTTTTCAATTAAACTCGTTCTTCCATGTCTTTTACTCACACATATATGGTTTAGGGAAATCCCTAACAGCATATATATATATATTTATCTTTGCCACGATGTATGTCAGGCTGTGTAATATTTTTTCTTCTTAAAAACCATGATTTAAATTTACTGCTATAATAAAGAGCAGTCCCGTGTAAATACAGTGTATCATATAGTCCTATATAACTACATCACCGCCATTAGGAAGCGCGGCGTCGTCGTCGTAGGCATTGTCTTCCCTCTTTTATACAAACGATTCGTATACAACCTGGTTCGATCGAAAAGATCGGATGATACGGGATTATACGCCAATGTTATTTACAGCCGACGATCCGTCACGAAAGGAGATTCTTGGTCGGAGTATCCTCCCGGCGGAAGTACTTTATTATTGCACGATAATGTCAATATTATTGAGACGCGACTGTAAGGGTCGCATTAACCATCATGTTCAAATTACAATTAATCTACGAGCTAATGGTTACATCGCGCTCTTCGCTGTTCTACATCACGCTATATCTATGATAAGAGGAGACTGGCCAGAACGTACGCAATTTGTTATTGCTTTGGCTACGATGTGTAATAATATGTTAGTGTAGAATATCTTCTTGTAGAAATAAATGTTACAAATGTTAAATTAATATTACAAACAACGGAGCGAATCCCGATAATCTCACCGTGAAAAGCTTGTTTAAAGCGAAAACTGCAGATGTAATGAACCATGCACGCTCTTTTTTTGTTCTCGTTTACTTTGTTTGTAAAAGTTGTTGAAGTTTGCTATTTCATTCTCTACTAATTGCGGCACCCCAAAGCAGAAAACCAAATACAATGTAATACATTTCCCGTAAAAATAAACTTTAAAATGATGCAGGCAACATTGAATCAAACTGGAAAGCAAAACGCGTCCGTGCAACAAAGAGTAACATTGTTCACGATACGCTTTGCACATTAGCAAACGCTGCTCAACCGTCGAACTGTTTCAAAGGAAAAAAAAAACAAAACGGTCGCAATTAATCTTGTTTAAATAGAATCTCATTTGCTTTTCACAATTTTTTTTCAGCTAAATATTTCAAAGATTAAGAAAACATTAATCGCTGTCGTAATGCGAGGAATCGTGTTCCATAATAAACTAGCAGGAAAAATCGTCTGTGACATATAGATGTTGAATTATGCAAACGTGCCGTTGATGTTCTTATGAATAGCGACTTTATTTACTCTATGAAATTGCGCTGACACTTTTTGCACGTCTTATTTATTCTTAAATGAGTTTGTATCGCGTGCTTTTTTACGGAGTGCGACAGTTTCGAGAATAAAATGTCTCTTTAATCAGAGCAGAAATTCTGAAGCATTTCTTAGTATGTGCGCTTCTTTTATGTATCTTTTGTTATAATCAAACAACTTTTTACTTTTCAGTGCCTGATGTCCACTTCATCCGTTGCTTGATTCTCCAGTGTACAAGGTCTATGAAATTCCTGGCCCCTTTCATGCAGCCATTTGTTTGCCACTGTAAGTAATAAATACAAGTTGGAAAATAATAAATAACACTTTGAACAAAATAATTAATAACGCGATTCGAGAAAGATATAATAGATGACGTTTCAATTATATATACCCCATTTAGATCCCGTAAGTACTGGACAAGCTGCGTGTCTGGTTTTAAAATCTCCCTCGCCGTTAGGCTTAAGATTATACCAAAACGCCGCGCTACCCTTCCTTGGCCAAAGCGATATATTAATGGCAGTGAATACGGTACCTCCTCCTTGTTCGACATCGCTCATCTGTTAAAATAACGAGACAATCGCGCGTGATTTCGTGCTCGTCAGCTTGCACAGAATTGCACAGAATTGCACAGAATTAGATGACTTACATAGTATAGAACCGTTGCGATTCTATTGCCCGTCCCAAGACTCTTGAACGCATTCGTCTCTTCTTTCTGTATACGTAAAATTAAAAATCAAACTATTAACTTGTCACGACACTACGAAAAATAATATACCGCTCTTCGATGAGATCAACTTACCCTGGCAAAATCAAAATGCGGTTCATAATGACCGCCGATACCGTAATTGACAACTTGAAGCTCCTCAGCAGTTTCGATAGACATACTCGTCATATGTTCTACGCGTTTGCTCACTGCCGCTACGTGCTTGTGCTCGTGTTCTTGAAGCCACGCGCTTTTGCTGATTCTGTAATTCGCTATCTCTAAGGCACCAGTCTTGTAATTTTGCACTGTGGCGCGCTTAAACTGCAACAGACGCAATTGCATTATTCGAGAGTAATTATATTTATATATTAATAATACACACGATATCTCGGAAGAATCGTTGTACTAGTTTCAGCGCTAATAATTTTCGAATAACCAAGTACTTACCCTAGGTTGAGCCATTCGTTTGATCGTCTCGATTTCCTCGTCGTAGATTACGTTGTGATAAACAACTATTCTCGGATCTAGATACGCTTCCTCCTCCTTGAGCGGCGCGATTTTCAGAAATGGAATTCCACGGTCGACGTAACGGCACTTGAGATTCTTCTCCACTTCTCGTGGAATAGATACCTCGCCGCGACAAAGCATTTCGTACCTCTCCCTCTCCGTCATTTCCTCCCACGTTTTCACCCTTTCCTCGGCGACAGTGAAGTTCTGCAAGCACGATAACGAACTTTACGAACGCTCGCGCAAATGGGATTTACCTCTTAGAGCTCTTTTCGCATCTTCGAAAGTAATGGTCGACGAGAAGTTCTCCGTTGTTTAATGATATCTTTCGCGATAATCGTGATAAGTTAGTTTGTTACAGTAAATTTAATATAGTTTTAATAAAAGAAAAAATTAGTGATTAATAAATCAATGTAAATCTCATCTAAAATTGTTTATTCTAGATTAGTTACTTTTCAAAATTATTTATTTTCAATATCTAATGCCTAGTAATAAAACGGTTTTCCGATTCTGATATCTCTTGTTGAATTTTACCTGTTCAGGTATCGCTGTGTCGTCTTGCCCATCCTCACCTCGCTTCTTCTTTGACTGGCTGGCCTTGCTTTGAATCTCCTTTTGATAATACGCGCGATTTCCCAACGCTCTCTCGTGTGTCGGGACCAATTCCAACAACTCGTTCGTCATACTCAAAGCACGGGCGACATTACCTAGAAGGATGATAAAGACGGAATAATATATATGATGTGTGTTACTAGCAAGGTAAACGATGCCTCTTTAGAAATTTTTCCGCGCCATGTGATACATTGACATGCATAATTTATTGTCAGAACCTTGCATGTACGTCGAAAATGCCAGGTACTCCAAGATATCGGGCTTGGAAGTAGTAGTGGCGTTTTGCTCTTCCTGCAGACGATCCATAGCTTCCTGCATCCATAATACCGTGTGATAATAATCGCGATTGTGATAAGATTGTCGGCCTAGTTCGAAGCAATCGCTTGCTGAAAAATATAGAATTATATTATAGTATGTAAAAAGAAAGTGTATAATGCGATAAAAAGGAAAAATATTTCCATGTGAAAACAATATATTCTATATATTTTTATAAATCTTATATTTTATTAAGTGCGTTTCGCACACACTAGGCAGTTTGCGAGGCATTACGTTCCAAGTGCGTACTATTGGATTTCTCTCCATTCGCAGCAAAAAGCACGCGGCATACTGATGCTGAAAGTTAGTCCGCTAATTAATTTTCCTTCCGCAAAGTGCTCCCTTTTTATCTACTGATTTCCATTACAAAACTTTAGCTGATTATATACTTTTTTCATATCGTTAAGAGCAGTGTGTTATGCAATTTATTCTTATGCGAATGATAAGACTTTAAATGAGATTCTTTTTCATTTAAAGTCTTGTGTCGCGTGAACTACCCTCCCATTTCTAACATCAGGTTACAGTGAAGAAAATTTGCGAATTTTCACGGGAATGTTACGATAGTTTAAAAAAAAAAAAGTTTTCAACATTCAAAAAAATTACATCTTTATCCGAGGATCTAAGATCCTCTGATTAATCATCTTTTACGCAAATCGTTTTATATTCGTTTCTGATTTAAAGGAGCATTTGAAAGTATAAAATTCCGGGACATCTTTGTGATATTCAATTAATAATAGTTTAATTTAAAAAATGCTGCACATACCAGTTAGACCGGTACTGTATTGCACCCCATTTAGAACGCCTCTCGCAACTTGCGCGGTTTCGAGCTTGTACGTATCCTGTAATCTCATCAAAGCGACTGCAGCACCATTGAGGTCTTCATCGGTCGGGAATTTTAGATCGCTCCTAGAATTCGTGATGTTTGCTACGAAAGACTTGCCGACGTCTTCGGTTATCAATTCTTCGACCTTTTTCCAGTCGGTGGTCAACCGTTTGACCAGCAAATAAGCGTTTATAGGATTCGACAGGTACTGCTGAATATTTCTGGATGCCTCTTCGTGTTCCCTCGCGTAATCCTCTACGTTTCTAAAAGAAAATATTTGCAATTAGTTTGCGCGGTCAATGTTTTTTAATCTCTCCTCTCTCTCGTTTCCTTTAGACTAAATTAGAAAACAGTTTGCTGTCGCGCATAAAAGTAAAGCGCGTAAAAGAGCACGCATAAAACGAAAGAAAGAAAATAGAGGCAAGATTATTAAATGTAATTATGTGTCATATAAATTTATCACAGATGTAATTATAAGTATGAAAGTGGGAATTTAAAAATACTTTTAATTATGTTACAAATAATAAAAACAAGTTTTAATTTTAAATTTAATTTTAATTTTAATTTTAATTTTAAAAATTTATTTTAATAACTTGTAAAATCTTAATAACGCTTATAATCAGCATATCATTATATCATGAATCGTTTGACAAATCTTTAGACTCATTTGTGTGTAAGAGATTTATTAAATTATTTAGTTGATTAACGTGGTTAATCAAACAGACAAGAAAATCACCGGTTTATCCTTCCGATATCACTGCATTTACAACTATACAAAGGGATTAAGTGTAAATTCAATCGAACAACTTGCACAGGATCTAATGGCGCGAAATAATTTATTAGGCAGTTGAAGCCTTCCTAGATTATTCAGCGGATCTCTCTTTGCACAATTCGCGTAACGTTAGCTACATGCAACGTGTAAAGTGCCACGACGCGCAAATTTTAGCTGAATCAGTCTCTAAATAGCGTGGAATTTACAGAGAAGCTTCTATAAACACGCTCGCATTGTATTCGCTAATCTCTTTATACTTTATGCAGGGAAATAATCTATGTTATTTTCTAAAGTAATTTTTTTTACGTTTTATATTTCACTTCCCCCTTTCCACTTTAATTTTTCAAATTTATTTACCAAATTATAAATCGAAAATTATTTTTGACATTCATGTCGAGCAAAAATAATTAAATTCTTTAATAATCCATGGATAAAAATATACATATCCTGCATATTTATTTGAAAATGTCAGCGAAAATAAGATAAACAGCAGATGCAATAAAACTAATTGACATTTTCAGCGTACGAGAGAGAGTCGAATTTTGTTTATATATGTATTTTATCTAAAAATTAATTAATATTTTTAATAATCTTTTTTCAACTCGCTTCTTAAAATATATATTTTAAAATTATAAATAAATAAAGTTCAAAACAAATATATGATAAAGACAATTTTTTTCTTCTAGTGTGCTTTTTCTCAAAAAATTGAGAGACGAGAGGTAACTTCTTATCTTTGAGAAAGGAAGAGAGATGAGGCACGTTCGTCGCAAATCGCCGTCCAATTACAATTGGAACGTGCTACGATATCGTGATATCAACTCTGTGGCGAACGACGGAGACGTTTCCGACACCTGGCGACACCATTGTCCTCGATGTCGCACAACGGCGAGGAATGTCCTTTCAAAAGAGGGAAAGAGACAACTTATCTCGAGTCGCGAATCTCTGAGAAGCAGATGCTTTCCCGTCGATTCCTTCTCGTATTTAATGTATAAAGCCGAGACGAGAGACCTTTTCTCAATACAAACGACGAGATCTGTCTGAACGACCAACGTCGTTGAAGAAGAAGTACATCGGTCATTGTAAAAGAGACATACGTCAACTTTCTTACGAACGAGTCTCTCAGGAAAATTAATGAAAAATTTTCTTTTTCTGAAAGTATGTTGAATAATACATATCTACAAAAGATATTCATAATGAAAATAGATGGAAAATAGATTCTGTAATAATTTTTGAAAAGCGAAGCGATATCAATTTAAACATTTATTTTTCAAAGAGACAATCGTAATGATAGATGGATGGCATAACGAGATTACTTTCATCTTTAAAATAAGTCAAAAAGCATGAGTGACACTCATAACGAGATTACTTTCATCTTTAAAATAAGTCAAAAAGCATGAGTGACACTCAATTTATGTAATAACATAGATTTCTAAAATACTTCACAATTTTTATTTGAAATAAATAAAAAATAAGCATGAGTGACACTCAATTTATGTAATAACATAGATTTCTAAATTGCCTCACAATTTTTATTTGAAAGGATATTAAATATTATATAGAGATCTGTTCCATTTAAATATCATATCATCCAAACCAATAATACACATATATGTACATATTAAATGTGCTTCTTTTTGCTTCTAGAGCGCGAGATTTTTGTAATGAAACCAATTGTAGTAAATTGATGAGACAAAAAGCATATCCCATCGCCATATGGATCGACAGGTTGGTCGTTAACCAGAACCGGGGTATATGACGAGACACAATATAAATTACGGGAATTAAACACGGCAGGTGTGCGTGACTTCGAACGCTTCTCTCTCATCTCGGCGACGTGCACCTCACATCTGACATTTGCAGCTGTTACGAATTTCGAGCGGCGCTCGTTACAATCGAGCCAGAATAAACGTGAATTGTCAATATCCGCTTCACTGTTCATAGATCTTAATTCCCGAAATAGTCATCCAACTGCATCGCGGTGAGCGACAGCATATATGAATGTACACAGAGAATACAGTGATCTTGATAAATATATATAATCAGAAGCATATCTTCTTGCAAAAAAAGATTGCAGTTTCAAATTCTTCTTTAAAATATTAATACCTTTTTTTTCAGATATGAATAATCGAAATAGAGGAGAAATTTTAGCAAATTCTTCATACTTTAATTCATTTGTGAAGCAGTGAAGAAACTCTTATAAATTACATCGAGATGTAAAAACTTTGCACGATATAGACTAAAAGAGAAGAAATTACGTGCCGTTTTCTACATGTCAAACGTGTGGATAATTTTACGTACGACAGAATTAATCCGTTGAAGAAGAAATTATCAAAGCACGTATACGTCGTATATATTTCGCTGACGTAACGTATCCGATTTGAAACGTCCATTATATAAAGAATGTTTTACGCGTTAACGATTAAACGGCACGTCGATACGACACGAAAAGAGCTTTATTAAAAGCGGAATGGAGCTCTGCGCGCGGCATCTCCTGTGAAAGACAGGTACGGTCTCAATAACGATAGTTCTTTGTATCGCGCAGCACCGAGCCAATAACGAAAGCGCCAACGCCATCTCCGCCTCGTTAACGCGATTTTTCATCCCGTTCCTCTTCTGGCCTTGCCGGGCCTTGCCTATCGTGTCAGCTCCGAGTTTTCGCAACGTGCATCGCCGACGACAGATTTTAATTAACGATACGCGCGGTCCGCGCGTCGCGGTGGCGACGTCCACGTCTCTCGAAAAAGATGATCGGTCCACGGACCGATTTGTTTTTCTTTCTCTCTCGTGCTTTTTTGCGTCCCTCGACCCCCTTCGAATGCGGTTCATGTCGCGTCCATCAACAACGCGGGTGCTTCGTTTCGAGCACCGTGCGATACATATATGTGTATATATATACGATATACGAGAGCATACGTACGAGCCAGCTTCATCAAATTTTTCGTTTTTAATCTCGTAACAGATAATTCTTTCATCTAGCGAGACTCGAGTCAAAGTTCCTTCCTTCTTAACGTCGTGGTATTTTTCGAGCGGATGAAAATAAAGAAAGTCGAAACACAAAGGGATGTTAAATGCAAGCTTCAAGATTCGCTCTATTCTGGAATTTATTCTTTGCAACTCGGACTTGTATCGCTTCGTATTTCACGTAAAAGACAACCGGGACGAAATATAAATGTATTTGTCATAAAAATTTTAGCGTAATTATTATTAAAGCACGCGCGTTTCCAGTTAAATTCGCCCGCAAAAGGATCGCTGTGTATTTCTCCCTTTCTCTCTCCTCTCCCCGATCTCTCTGCCGGTACTTTAATCTCTTCTTTCTCATTTTTCATGAACAACGGGGGGGGGCGGAGGGGGGGTATGCGCTTTGTATTTGCTGCCGCCATCGCTGCCGTCGCCGTTCCTGCCTCCGGTCAGTTTCCATGATACTCTCGGGTGTTTTTCGCCATCCGCGTCACCCACGCAAATGGAATAGCTCGGTGCATACGGAACAATGCGACCCGGGAGATACTCACGGATCTCGCGGCATATTTTAGAGTTAGAGCCTGCGTTTGATGCAAAACTGCCAAGAGTCGTTGAAAGAAAAACATTTGTAAAAAACGTTACGAGGGATTTTCCCATGCGAACAAATATCATGTCTATTTCAATTCTCTTTTTACTACGCGCTCAATGATATTTTGCTCCGTAATATACTCCGTAATTACTCGTATGCTTCAAGTATGTTCTACTTGTTTATACATTCCATTATATTATTCATATTACATTCGTAAATCCCAATACTGTTATTTAATCTGTATCTGAAGTAATTATAAAAGGATATTCTTTATCCGTTTTATCGTTCGCGCTCTCGTGATCTCGCATTTGTTAAATTCATCATTGACGCAAAGCAAAGGCCAGGGGTGAAGAGCTTTCAATCTATCGGTATGATGCGACGATGGGTTATACTATCGACCTACCGCTCTTATCTCTCGGCCATCCTTTTGCAGCATTTGCGAGCCCCTCTCGGGGGCGAAACTCTCGCGAGAATAATGGCGATCGTCATTTAGTCAATTCCGATAGTTGCGCGGAACCGCGGAGGATTTGCATGAAAATGTATCGTTATGCAAAGTTACTTGGCGCAACTACGGATGCAAGTTTACCGCGAATAAAAAAAAGACTCAACTTTGCGACGCGCAAGAAAATTATTCATAAACTTTAATTTTAACGTCGTGGAAAGCTCGCCGCGACTCTCCTACGCGCGTGCTAAATGGTAGAAAAAATATTATTACATCTTTCGAACAAGAAGCAACACTCTATCGACACGATACGACTTGGAATTATCTTGAAACGTTTTTCTCGTATTTTTTTACCAATATAATTTTAGCGCGCGTAAATAATTTGATATCGTCGAGTCGGAGGGATTCGAATTTAACGTACCGACGCCAACTTAAATATAGTTACCCGCGGTCGATCAGAGAAGAGAACGGCAATCGATAACGTCGCGGTCCGCGGCGGCCGGCGGCCCCACGTGTCGCCGCGCATGCGCGTCCGCGGCGCGGTAGCGCGACGTCGCGAGCGCCGTTGCTGCCCTTAGTCGGAAACGTTTCGCCGAACGGTCGGGCGACGGGGATGAGCGAGGCGTCGTCGGCGTGCCGCTTTTCGTTCGCGTGACGGAAACTTGCCGGGAACGTTTTCGAGCGCGCGTTGTCCGGGCGACCGGACGTGATGCCTCGTAACGGCAGCTTCGAATCCGTGATGTGAGCTCCCTCGGCGATCGAAACGACGGCGAGCGCCCATCATGGCGGATCCGACGTACAACCGGAACGCGGTCAACGGAGGAGCCGCGACGTACCTAACAGATTTTCCCGAGCGGGTGCGACGTGGCTGGTTCAAATCTGCCGAGCCAGACGCGATTCTCACGTGCGAAAGTCAGTCGGATGTGTATATTCGCGTGCATGGTGGTGTCAATTGTAGAGTCGTCGGTAAAAGAGGCGTTTACGAGTGGCGTTTTATGATCGTCGCGACAGGTAAGTGAGCGGTTTCGCCAAGTAAATAATCAAACATCGCGTCACGTTACTCTCGTCGTCTCGTTTGCTTGTTATTTCGCGAGGAAATTAAGTCGCGTGTAAATCGGATACCGCGATAAACGGTCCCGTCTGTGTCAATAAACTTTCGAGTCGGCAAACTATACACATACATGTATATATATAGTTTTTAGTTGTAAACAAAGAATACGCAGATGCGCGTTAGTTTCTTTTCTGAAAATTAAAATCTCCTAATTTACGGTAAATATCGAAACTACACGAGATAGACTAATAAATAAAATTGAACAATTTTGACGATATTTTCTCTTTTTTTCTTTCGAGTATTTTTTCTTCTCTCATTTATCATCTCGAGACTGAATTTATACGAAAATGGAGTAAAGCGAAATGGACATTTTCATTGATTAATTGACATATAATTACATTTAACGCGATATTTTTAATGCGATTATCATCGAAACCGGCCTGTGCCGATTCTCTTCGCCCAAAGGTGACAAGGAGTTACGGAACGTGGCCTTGATATCGGACGATTATCGCTCCAACTTTGTCATCGTGTTGGTGCAAGCGAACGGGAGCGAGATCGGCGCGACCAACGGCCAGGAGTGGCATAATCCTGGCGCGAGTGACGTCGAGCTTAGCAGCAAGAGACATTATTCGGTAACAATCGCGTTCACCGCCAGTAAACACGGCACGTATCGACAGAACGTCATCTTCGGCTTCAAATGTTGTCCAGTGTTTCTTCAGAGGCTCTGCGCGGATTATTTGCCGATCGAAGATTACGCACGGATACAAACGGCCACGAGTTATCAACTGTCGCAGATCCCACCGAGATGGACCGATCCGTACGAATTTTACTCGCCTTTCAAGCCGCACGCCAATCTGCGGGAGATCAAACTGTCGAGGATATATCCGTATCCCGACAAGCAAAACTTCTTCCTCGCTCAAGATATGCTGTCGGACAATCGGCTGACGCCGCAAAATTATCGGGGTCGTATGCACGAGATGATCACCGTCGAGGAGATCGCCAGACACGAGCAGCTCTCGAGATACAATCAAGTCTCGTGGTTACGCCTCGTGTCGGAGTATATATTACTCAACAACGACGGCTCCACCATTGCCAAATATACGCCGCCGGGTGAGCTCTTTGCTCAGGTGCGATTTTTTCTGGCTTTTACAAAACGTTTTTTTTTTTTTCGTCATTTTTCAATCCCCCCGCTCGTACATCATGCCATGCGCGCGAAAAGTTTGTCGTTGATGCTTTTTGCGACCGCATATTTTTCTACATAAATTTTCACACTTCCCGAATAATTTGGCCGTAGAGTCTTTTCGCTCCCTCTCTTTTATTACACATACATTCGCTTCCTCCCTTGTAAGATCGAATAAGAATCCGCCGTTTTTCTCTCCTCCAATTGTAGCCAACGCGTGAAATTTGTTGCCACCGCAGCTCCCAATCACTCGGGACATCTTGGAGGATACGCAGAGCGGCAGACTTCTACAGCGTAGCTGTAATAGCGTTCTAATCAAGCTGTGGGACAAGAATCTCGAAAATTCGAATATGGTGTTCGAAGCTCACATAGAAGACAAGTGCTCGCAGTTTATATTCGTCAGATTGAGCAAAGAATGCGTGACCCTTTGGAATTTGACGGAGCAAAGCGAGCTCAAAGTCGCAATGCGGTTCGTGTTGAGTCGCCTCAATTTTTGCGAGTGGCATTTGGCAGTAGATAGTCTCGAACATATGGACTTGGTATTCCTCAAGGACAAACATCGCGAGATGGATAATCAAATTATACACAGTTTTCTGCAAGTCGACGCCGAAAATCTACGTATACTTTCCAGTTTATTTCTGAACAAGCTATTCAACCAAGAGCAAAAGCAAGCGGTTGCCGCGATAGCATTGTCTAAGACTAAGGCTTCCTCGCCGCCGGTCCTTTTACTTGGGCCCTTTGGCACGGGAAAGACGTTCACCATAGCGCATGTACTGCGTATGCTCGTTAAAAACTCGGACAACCGGATACTTTTATGTACCCATAGCAACAGCGCCGCGGATCTCTACATCAAGGAGTTTTTCGATGTCTGGTATAAAGCGGATAAACATCAGAGACTTAAACCTATTAGAATATATTACAAACTGCGAGCATTGAATACGGTAGGTGAATAGTTGTAGGCGTTGTCTTTAATCTCTTGATTATTAAAGGAGCACGTGTAATTTCTCAATTATGACTTGGTTATGCTTTACGATTTAGATACATCCAATTGTGCAACAGTACTGCTTGATGGACGAACACGGTCGTTTTCGCGATCCAGTCGAAAAGGATTTTGAGGACTGCAGTCTAATAGTGACTACTCTAGCAACCTCTAGTTGCTTGATCAGTCTGAATCTGTCTCTAACTCATATAGTTATCGACGAAGCGGCCCAAGCCATCGAGTGCGAAGCACTCATAGCCCTGACCTTGGCGAATCAAAATACTCGTTTGATCCTGGCAGGTGATCAGATGCAACTTGCACCGGAGATTTACAGTGTACTAGCGAGCGAACGAGGATTGGGCGTTAGTCTCTTAGAGAGGATGTACGATTTCTATCCGCCGGAACATCCATGTCGGATACATCTGTGTCAAAACTATCGCGCGCACGCGGACATAATCAAATACACGTCCGAAATGTTTTACGAAGGAATAGTTAAACCCGCCAACACGGAGCTGCTCAAACATCCGACTATGAAACCATTGACGTTTTACGCTGTTCGTGGCCAGGAAGAGCAGGTATATAGATTATTTACGAGCGCCAGCGAACCAAGAGATTGCGGTCCAATCAAAAATAGAATAAATATATCTTTGCAATTTTCATTTATTGTCCAATTGTCCTGTAATTGCCGCTTATATTGTCCGTATGTAGATCACGCGCAATTATTACAATAACATAAAAAAAAAATATTCCACGATAGATTTAAAAAATCAGATTGTTTTTCCTATATTTGAAAGATGAAATTTATGATTTTTTTCTTCTTGTCCGAAATATCTTTCGATTGTACTAGAAAATAAAAAAGCTCGATTTGACATTTATCGATTTATTATCGACAGACAGAATTTTCCACGGGATATCAAAATGTTATGGAGGCGGAAGAGCTGGCAAATCGTGTCCTGGAATTGAAAAACACGTGGCCGACGGAAGAATGGGGATCATACAAAGAAGGATCTATCGGTGTTTTATCGTATTATCATGAACAAGTGCAACGGGTGCGAATCGAGTTGCGCAAGCGCCAGCTTTTCGACGTGTCCGTCGAGAGAGTATTGAATGTCCAAGGCAAACAATTCACCGCGGTTTTTATCAATACAGTCCGGACAACAACATCCGATAGGTATCGATGTTACAATAGACCACAGACGCTAGAGCACACTTTACATACACCGTGGAATTCAATATCGACAAGAAAATTTCCCGTTGTTACAGGTTCTCCGCTGAGACGAAAGTCAAAGACTACGGTTTCTTGACGGATTCACGTTTGCTAAACACTGCTCTGACAAGAGCGAAATGTCTCGTAGCGGTTGTCGGTGATCCGGTCGCTCTGCTCACCATTGGCTCCTGTAAACAGCTTTGGAAGAAATACTTGGAAGTGGCCGATCTATACGGAATGGACAGGAAGGAATTGCAGGAGCATCTGAACAAGGTACCCAAACTCCAAATATCACCACTGAACCCGCACGCGAGAGAGTTTGTTCCCCAAAGGCCGCCCTTGTGCATTGTTCAATATATTCAAGTACCACTATGGTTTCCAGTGATTTTTCCTCCTCATCCGCCAATGTAATGAAAAATCGTGAAATTCACGTAATTTTATCGAGATGATCGTTTCGACATCATGTCATCACTACATATTTCATGGATCGAAACGTTTACATTTTACTACTATTTTTATCGTCTCACACGATTATCTTCGATCGTATCGGCCGTCGCAAAACGAACAAGTATCAAGTTGCGTGTAATTCTTGTAATTTCTCATCTTTTCATTTGTCTGATTGCGCGAGTGAGAGTTTTTGCGAGCACAAATCGTATAAATTCTGTTTATTCATATGTATCAAATTTCACACTACGAGTAGGGTAGTGATCATAGAGACATAAAGGTATAAATTCCATTTCTTTTTGCTATACGAATGACTCATGGATTTTTAAGAAAATATATGTGATTTATATATACCTCGAATGTGTGTGCGCGTTTGACAATGTATTTGAATGTATTTAAATATTGTTTTCATGTTTAAACCAGCATGGGCATAATTTTTCATTTTCATTATACACAGCGAAATATGTACAAAGAGAGTTCTATACGACTATGTATTTAGCAGCGAGAAAGAGACTTTCTTCAGATCCAACATCCACAATTATATAAGACACGATGTTTTTCTTAATAAAAAGAATATATATTTTACACAATTTTATTTTTATTTAGGAAAGAGAAATAAAAGCATAATTTCACATAAAAAAAAAAACTCGAATTACTTTTCCCTTTCGATTTTACACGATTCCTGCTACCTACATGACGAAAAGATTCGTGTTTACGATAATATCTAAATTATAGCGTATTAATTTTCGTATTAATAATGCGATGTTATATGCACAGAGATAGTATACGCGACGGCGACAGGTACGGGTCATTGAGATACGCCGCTCTATTGTCTGATGCCTAAAGGCAAAGCACGTAGATCGTGTACATGCGAGTACATATACCGCGCATCTTTGTGGATGCCATTACATCCCCAAGTACTCGATACGTAATTCGATACCGCGACTTGTCGACCTCGAATCTCTGCCGCTGTTGGCGATATTATCTCACGGAATATCCGTATGTTGACGCTAATTGAACAGATTTCTCAAAGAAGACTCTTGTCACGTGCCCCTTAGTTTTAATGGAAAAAATGTTAGTGCATGCACGTGCACACTTGTTTAAGTCAAATAATTATATTAAAATTCAGCGTAATTCATGATAAAATTGCACGAAAATTTTATAATACAGAAAGAAATTGTTATTTTGCGTGGTGAAATAAATTCCGTGCTCAATTGTCGAATACGTAACTCAATATCAAAGTTTACTCGCGAAAATAAAATAAGTTTTGTTGAAAAAAATCTTAAATATTCAGCATTATCATGGAAAATATCACAACCATTCGGGGATCGAATTTCACGCGGGGCATACCGCACGATCGATTCCTCGATAGCGAATGCTGCGAAAAGGAGAAATATTATCGGAATTCCGTCGATAATTCCAATCGTGTTTCCTCTAATTACCGGAAAATTAAATCTAGAAAGATACAGCGCAGTTATATACACACAGTAAACACGCGAATGCGTGCGCTATTCTTTTTATTTTCCGACTTTCGGTCAAAGCGAATATGTCAAAAAGATATAATTTCGATACAATCGCTTTTTCCAAAAACTATTTGTAACGCTTTTGTTTACATTTCCCGGAAAAAGAACACGTCTGTAATTCGAAGCTTCAAAAAACTAGGGAAAATCTATAAAGCGGTGGTGGATGTGTCCAATTTTTAAATCGTCTCGTCGTTTGCAAAATTCGTTAACGTAAAAATGTTCATCTCTTTTACCGCGAAAAAAGCGCAGCGCGAATATGCGCTCTCTATTTTTATGTTCACGTCCGCAAACACATTTATAGATATCTATAGCATCGCGGTGCCTTTAGTAATAGAAATCGACGATTGCAACGTCGATGTGGCAATTAATTAAAAAGTAACGAGTATCGGTTAAATGAGGACACCGAGGAGGATTCGCTCCTACGTCCGTCTACGCGAATTGGCGATAATAAAAACAAATCGATCGTCGCGCAGACAGTTAATTAGAAGCAAACAGTTACAGGTCGCGGACGCTCGTGATAGAACTTTGTTATCTTATCGGAGCCAATTACACCGACGCCACTCTCCCTCTCGAGGGAACGCTCAACGGCCACCACCACCATCACCGTCACCTCCATCACCACCACTACTACCGTAATCGCGATTATTAATGCCAGTAATGGCGCTTCCGATAATCGGCTCGTTTGTCCCTCTTAAATTCCTAGTTTAAAATTCAGATTTACTTCGATCTTAGATCCTAGAGCGTCTCAACTTTCCTTTGTTAAAATACTGCAATATTGCGTGCACTCGCGCAGACGTACGTTTGCATTTTCTTAAATTGTAAAAGAAAAGAAATAATATTAAAGATTATTATTTAAATAAATCTTGCTTTTTTTCGATCAAAAATAACGAATCGACGTCGAGCAATTTTACGTTTGAATGCAACACCGAATGCAACGCATTTAATAAAATCGTTAATTTGTGATTGCGATATTTGAACCCAATGGCAAGATAAGATTCGTTTGATTTTGATATCTATGAATATGAGGAAACTTAACAAAATGGCAAATCTTCGTTAATGTAAATTTATACGCGTGCCTGTTGGTTTGATAAAAATTATACCCACGTTTATTCAACCGAATGCATTGGTTGCTCGAATTGTATGCAAAATATTTGAATATTTTTCTTATGAATTCACACAAGTAAACAGAAATGCGCGATATCGCGTACACATGCATTCTTCGCTGCATGGCAATATGTAAAATGTAAACGAGAGATTCGTACATACATATATACGTGTTATCTCCATCAGTTTGCATACGTGTGTCCATTATAGGTTCACTTTTGTACGTGTGTATGCGCGCACATATTTGTGTGCGCCTTTGCAAATTCCACGAGTATGAAATGGCCATCACGTGACTGGATTGCAATTGCCAAACTTTGAATATCCACGTAAAACGGTATACGATAGAAAGGGAGAGAGAAAAAGAGAAGGAGCAAGCGCCAGCAGGTAGAAGGGAAACCGTTCAATCGCCGATATATCCTTCGCGAATGATTTTTGATAGTTGAACCAATGATGGATGGCTATCGTGACTGATTTATGGCCAGTCTGAAAAGTTCAAGTAGGTTGCAAACTCTCTCTCTCTCTCTCTCTTCTCTTTTCGTATGAATAATAATTTGGTAAATAATAATCAATATTTATATACTTGAAAATGTTTGCTTTACATTTTTTAAACAAAAACATAATAAAAAAACAATCATTGATAAAGATAATTCTGTCTGCGAATTTTTATCGATCCGGAATTAATGAATGAAATTTGTGGACGAGAAGCGAATCTCGTGCGGTCGCGTCTACGCAAAAGGATCTTGATGCGTGCGTGGAACGGTCGCCACGTGTGATATGATTGCAATCGGCGAGTTTTGAATGGCCATAGAAATGAGAGAGAGAGAGAGAGAGAGAGAGAGAGAGAGAGAGAGAGAGAGAGAGAGAGAGAAAAGAGAAAGAGAATAAAATCCCATTCGCGTGCGACACGGGCTCGACATGCTCCTCATTCTGTCGAGTGTTCGTGACAGGATTTTCTCGAGAGCGACCACCCGCACATAGTCGTCAACGGTGTGTTAAATTTTGTGCGGAATCGTCCTACGTAAATGTTGTTGGAAACTTTTCCAACGCTGTCCCGCGCGTATTACTTGATCCACTGCTACCGTTGGATTGTACCGGACAGGGAAATGCTTAAACTATCTTCTATGGATTAACTACAACGTTTGCGAAATGAGTTTTTTAGTTTAGAAGGATGTGTAAGCTCGAAAAGTTATATTTTTGAGAGAGAAAAAAAAAGTTTAATTGTAATTGTAAAAGTATGGATAAAAAATCCAATCAAGTTGAAAAGCTTATGCAAAGTAATGTAAATCTGTGCTATGTACTTGACTGCTTCTTTAATTTAAAAAAAAATCAAGCATCTCGTTATTATTTTTTAATTATCAATTCAATTTATATCGTTATTCGGTAAATTATGAAGCTTGTATTCCTGAGAGATTCTAATGTAAAAAAAAAATAATTTTAAATTTTCACTCTTTTATTTCTTACAATTAGGCATGGAAATTATGTTTTATTTCAGCTCGTCGTAGGATTCGATTTTACAATTATCTCTTTAACGCGAGTGTTACTGATTTTAGTAGGATCGAGATCTGATATCTTAATGTATTCATTCTTTTCGTTCCGTTTCTTTTCTTATACACAAAGATAGCCGAAGCATTAATATCGAATCAAACGGTATATCAAATCATATCCGTGGGAAGATAAAGGAAAGAATCGAGGAGAAAAGAAGCCATTCTCGCGAGACTTTCCATCTCCTTCTTTAATCACCTTTCGTTTTAACGGTGCTTTTGAGGGAAATGGATCGAGGAAATCGTTGCGCCGATAAGTGACTCGATCTAATTCACTTTTTGATATCGTTGTTACATTTTTTTAAATAATTTATACATCATGTTTATTCACCATTTCTCCTCGACCAACACTTGTTAATTAACGCTAGTGTCGCGTAAATCGATAATGATTTTTTTACATGTCCTAATACAATAAAGTCAAATGGTGATATTCAGAGTAATCGTGAAAGCTTCAAACTCGATTATTCGCAGTTACGCATCGATAAAAAAAGAGAGGGAGATTTAACAGGATTTGACAACACGAGCGAAAATTATTTCTGCAGAATGATTCGCGTTACATGCGGCTGATCAAATATCGGTGCACCGAACGAGCATACACGCTTGACGAAATGCTAAAAAGAGAGGGAAAAAAATTGGCGAGCGCACACATCGGGGATAGGTGGGACCAATAGTGTATCGATAGGCGCCACAAAGAGCTGCAATCTATCCGCATAAAAACGGGAGATGACTTTTGTCGCGAGTTGCACAAGTCATGAAGAAATGTATCCAAGATTTACGGAATCTCTGAAAATATATAATACACTTTGTGCGCGGCGACGTTAAACAAATTTTAGTGTCTCGTTGTCGAAGGATGTAATTTTTGCTATATTATTTTAATTAAAGCAGACAAGTCATGAAGAAATGTATCGGAGATTTACAGAATCTCTGAAAAAATATATAATACACTTTGTGCGCGGCGACGTTAAACAAATTTTGTGTCTCGTTGTCGAAGAATGTAATTTTTGCTATATTATTTTAATTGAAGCAGAGAACAGAATCGTTCTCGCGAAAAATTTCAGCGTACGAGGGGGAGGCTAATTGATCTGGACCGTGCGTAATTACCGACTTGATGCTCTTACCTTCTCAGAGTGGCCAATCGCTGCTCCTGCGCCGTGATGTACCCGTTTAGAGTATCAATCAGCACGGCTTCCGTTTCGAGCAGCTCCTCCATATCCGCTAAAGCGGTGTAAAGTTCCGCGAGGGCATCGCGTGTCGTCACCGACAGCAAGATTGTTACGACGATCGACCAAGTCGCCCTCCTCATCTCCGACCGATGCTGTAACCAGAATAAAACTCGTTTATAAACATTACTCGTACGTCTATAAATGATATTTGCGCTATGTATTCATTTATAAACTTTGTTCGTAAAGTCACGTCAATTATAAATGGATATGAATCATAAATTCTACGTGACAGATTTTACGATGATAAACATGGAAAGGTTGAATATTTTGTTAAAACTGACGCTGACTAATATACGACAAATTGATGATTAACTCAGTGTCCGACTATGGGGAAATAAATTTGATAATATATATATATATTTATACAATGTTTCATCTCGTTTGTATCTCAAAGACGATGAATAAATGATTAGTAGAATATTCGTGTATTATTCGAATAACAATTTATGCTTTAGTCGCGTGTGTTTATTTCTCCGCAAAGTTTCATCTCGACTCGATATATTGTAACCAGGAGCGAGTTGCGCTTCGCAAACGCATATTGACTCGATGTCATCCCGCGGGGATTCCATTGTTCCCCGCAAAAGAGCGACGCGAGCGGAGGAGGGCGGGTGCTTTGGCGTGTGCCAAAATTTTCCCACGAAACTCTCTCGTCGGAAGCCACGATGAAAGACGAGGACGATGATAATGCGTCTACACGGATCCATCCGCGCGCGTGTTTGCGCTGCGAAAAGTTATGGCGGAGCAGTTGCGGATTCGAGTTTACGCTGATCGTACAACTTACACCTGTCGGATCGACGATTTATTCCGTCACGTCGACGTAAACTTTTCCCACCTTTTCCACCCGGCATCCTCTTAAGCCGCAGCAGCCCGACCCTCCTCCGTCCCCCTTTTGCGGCCGCGCTCGAGAGCCGCTCTCGGCACGAGAGGATCGAGAGTGCTAGGTGTGTCAATACTCGAATAACTCGGCGTTACGATATTCGAGTATCGCTCGACCATTGCGCGATGAGATTACGCGCTTAGAGGTTTAAGGGATTGGAAGTACTACTCCGGAAACATTCGTAAATGATACGGTACCGCGGCTTAAACTGTCGGTGATGGCGCGGTTCACCCTATTATGCGGACTAATTAATGATTTCCGACGAGCAATTAACGCATCGCATCCGAGCCTTCCCCATACGATATCGATCGTATAAGATCGCCGTAAGATTTGAAGAAATGTAAAAAAATAATTATGTCAGCAACGCATACTTCATGTCGGTAACAATTTCTCCAGAAAATCGCGCTAATACATTAATACTTTACATAAAATTGCGTAAATAATTTATTAATTTAGTTAAATAATTTATCATCGCGTAAAGCCTACATGAATAATTACTCTCGAATCAAGTGGAAGATATATAAAATAAATTAGCAATTAATGCAATAACTATAATGTATAATTATAGTTGTCGTGTATGTGTGCGTGTAGCTATAATAATAAATTAATAAGTTTTCATCGCCATCACACAACCACCGACAGTCATAATTAATCTCTGAATAAAAGCCCTCAAAATTGTTATTGCGAAAGCACTGTATTTAACCGGGTTCGAATGAAGCAAACCAAGAAACAAATACTCGTAAATATCGGCAAAAAACGTTATTTAATTAACGTTATAATTTACATTATGTATTATTTAAAAAAAGTTATTTAATTATAAAATTATTATTTTATACAAGTATAATTTTCTTATAGAAAACTTTATTAAAAAAATTATATAAAAAAATTTTTTTAAATTAATAATTTACGTGCTCTTGGGTGTTCGTGTTTGTTTGCGATTTGTTTGTTTGTTTGTAATCTGCATCCGACTTTAAGCGAGTAAAGAAATGTACAACTTTTGCGACAATGATAATTTTTTTTCCACGAATATAGGTGAAGAGGGAGAAAAATAGAGAAGCGGAGATGCGTTGGCGAGGTAACAGCGATTGTTATTTTTTTTTTCTTTTTCATCTGTTTTTTTTCCTCGCTTTGCCGTAACAGCTCTAATTATGTACCGTAAATTGACTTGTCCCCGCTCTCTCATTCTTTTATCCCGATAGTCGAGCTTGAAACCACCTTTGAGGTAAATTCAACGTGACCGCGTGGTTGCGCGTACACGCGATAAGAGACACGCGTCGTTACGTATATACTCGGTGACTCAAAGACTTTTTCATCTTGGTACAGACAAACTTCCTTTACGGATTTTCGCCGCACGCGATCCCTACCTTTTTTACGTTTTATTAATGCTTTCAGTTACTTGGTCCACTCTTTCCTCGATTCTTTTGGTTTTATCTTGCGCTTTTTTGTCAGATCCCCGAAATAACCCTCTTTACGGCAACGGATTAAAGTGTACTCGAAAAGAGCCCGAGCTTCATTTCGATGTCTTTTATCTTTTTATTGAAAATCAAGGAAAAACGTTAAGGAATTTTAAAATATTATTTTTGAAAATTAATCGAATGAAAACGTTGAGAAGGAAAATATTAATTTTGAATCTTGAAACAATATCGGTAAATTCATCAAGCGACTATAAACGGAAATTTTAAAATTGCGGAGACAAACCTTTTTACAATCCTCATTCGTTACATCGCGCAAAATTATTTCTAATAATATCAATTCTATTAATACCATTTTATAACGCATTTTATAATGCTGCTTTTTTGTCTACGCTATAAATAGACTATGTAAAAAAGAATCTTTTTTTTTTATGATAACGTTATATGGCTAGTTGCATCTATCGTAAAAGGCTAGTAGCTCCAAGTTAAATCAAATTAAAGTTTTTCAATCGCTATACGGAAGTGAATAGAAGAAGAAATTTATATAGAAAATTGTCGAAAGAGTATCATTCTTGTGAAAACGTCTATCCGCGTTCGCCCTGTTATATCGAGTAAAAAGCATATATGGAAGACGATGTAACATAAGTGGCGTTGCCTCTTTTTTCCCTCGTGTGCTCCGGATAATCTTTTTTTCCCATTCCTCCGTTGCTCCTTTTAGAACTTAAGCCCGGTAACTCGCGGTAACTCGTTCCACGAGAGAGCTTTTTCTTTCGGGGAAGCGCTTAATTAATGCCGATCCTTCGGCGAGATTACGACAAGCCCGTCCGAATTTTTCCAACAGAAGGAATTCAAAAAGATTACTTCCACTTTGCTTTCCGCATCCTATAGTTTGCGAGGATCCCGCGTTAATTAGCAATTAACCAACTCGGATACCTCCGCGCGATCGATGCAATTTGTTAGCGCCTCTCATTGTTCGATTCTCGTTCATTGCATGCCGTCCCGATAACGTGTCTATTCCGATATATCGCATCAGCGAATGAGAAGATATACTCGTTAACAATTTAGCAATATGAACAATTTATTTTTAAGTATTTTTTCCGAAGAATATTGAAAATTATCGTATCGTATCTGTTTTTATATAAAGGGTATACCTCGGTATTTTTAAATCCCGGATATTTAGCTCTGCGCGTGTTCAAAAATATACGGTTCGACGGCTGCGACATGTTACTTGTCGTCGTATGATTGTTCAAAATGAAAAAACTCGTTTTATTTCATGGGATATTTTTTGGGGCACGGAATCTAATTAGAGTTTAAAAAATTAATATTTTTCCTAGAATGCAAAAGTTTCAGCAAAATTGAAATATCTAATTTTAAAATAATGCATTTTGTTACTTTTCAATTTTTTCTAATGAAATTAGGTTCAGTGACCCAAACACATATATCGCGAGATAAAATTGGATCAAGTTTTTTTTTATTTCAGACTATTATACGAGGAGCAGCACATCACACCGTCGAACGATGCATTTTTGAACACGCTGCGTGTTGAACAAAAAATATCCAGGATTCAAAAAATACTGAAATACGTATAATGTTTACACAAATCAATAAACACAGATATAAAACGCTATAAAGGGATCAATTTTCAATATTTAAAAAAAACCAATAAAATCCTGAATATCGTAGATTGTTGATGCAGCTCGAGTAGAGCGAGCCTTTAAATGAGCTTATCGCGCGCGCTTGACCGCGACGTATGCGTTATTCGCCTTTGGCGAGAGGTGACCGTGAATGTCGCTAATAAGATCGCGGATGCGACAGCTCGCGCGAGCAAAAAGAGACGCGGCTTTGAAAGCGCGTTGCAGCTTCAAAATGGTAATTTCACGGCTTCGCGAGCATCTCGCCCGCGGCCAATTTAATTCCGGATGGATGATCGCGCCATCTCACTTGTGCTGTCCCTCTATTTTTCTCCGTTCGCCTTTGTCTACCCCCGGTCCGGGATATCATCCGATTCCGCTCGTTCGAAGTAGTTTTATATACCCGGGGCGCGACCTTGCGACTTCCATCCGCTCATTTCTTTTTTTCTCCAAGAGTCGGCTCGCCCTCGCCCTCGCCCTCGCCCTCGCCCTCGCTCTCGCGCCTCTGTACGATCGACTCTTTTATCCTTCCTTTTTTTTTGTCTCGCGCTCCAATGACGCTTCAACGTTTCCTCTTCCCTCGAATTATTTCAATGGAAATTGCTTCTCGTTAGTATCGATCCGCGTTCATAACATACGAAACTTTCCAATCGTCGTTATCAAAGGCGATCAAGCGTTCTCTTGTATCGCTACTTGACTTATCTTATTGTTGGTCGATTATTAACTTGAAATCTTTTGGAAAATAACTTGTAAAAATATTTCGAAAAGTATACATCTTGAAGAAAATACTTAAAAATTACGTATATGGATCCGCTCTGAAATAATTGTTTACGAGCAAAATTGTACCGAGTACAAAGTTATGTTAATCTAAATTTCTTCCATCGTGTGCTATATACGTCATTTCTCTCCAGCGCAAATTAATTTAATACCGAGGGCTTCTTATTATTCCGATCAAGATCCTCACGGTTCGGAATTTTGACGAGAAATTCCCCTCGACAATTCATCGATTCTATACCTCATTGGACCCACTCTACTCGACACAGCCAGATTGGGCAAATGAGAATAGACAACACGCGATAGATTGTCTTCTTATATTTATAATAAATCGAAAGATGTAAAAATACAAAGTATTTTTCGTCGACTCGAGATTGTTTCTTCTCTGATATCCATGA